CATTATCAAAATAAGTACTTTATATAATCATTACTACTTTGTGACATTTAATTTGCTCTTTTGTGCTTAATGATGCCTTCATGCAGTATGGCAGAAGCACATCTTCAGATTATAAAGTACATGTTCCTGGAAGAACTGCAGTCCGCTTTTTCATAGAAGCGTAAACTCACTGTTCCGGAACATAATTTGATGGAATGCAAGTATAAAGTCTCCTAAAAACATTACTTTGTGACAGAAGGGGGGAAGGTTAGTCTTTCTTGGTGAGTGAAGGTGAATCAAAGATTTTTATCTTGCAGATGTGGTTTGGCTGTTGTAATGCAATCCTCCACCCTGATTCCTCAGAATCATTGAAATTGCTCAGATGCCAAAATGTGACTGAAGCAAATGCAGTAATCAAAAATTGACAGGCATAGCACACTTCACTTCCCAGAGCCACCACTTAGATGTCTTTTAATTTGTTTTTTGTTGTCTCCTAGGTAATGATGAATTTTCAGACTTCCAAAAAATGTTACATTTAGAGCTTTTATTAAATACTGGTGTAGATTTTACACGCGCCACAATAACAGATACAGGAGTGTTCTTGTGCTATTTACTAAAGATTTAAAAACAAAAACTCTACTTGTCAGTTCTGTTTGTTTTGTAGTTTTGAGTTTTAAGGTGTCGAGTGACCTCGGCACAATATGGCCACAATACAGTATATGGTCAATATACAGTAGAAGAGTTAGAAGTATAGTCCAAGTCAAAGGTTTGAGTACACCTTCTTGGAAACCAGGTGTTTCATGATTATCTGTGCTATAAACTTATCTATAAACAATATTTAATTACATGATATGTGTACTTATAAGCTTAAGTGAACTGCATTGAAAATGACAATTTTTAATTTTCAGTAAAATGAACACCCAAAGCAAGCAGATTTCAGTCTGAAGCCCTGGTTAGTTAAATGTCAGAAATGTGTATAATATGGTGTTAGAACACTAAAATAAGTTTAAAATTATCTTTGTTAGGTGTTCTCACAGTTAACTAGCAAGTTAGGTTGCGTGAAGCTAGCCTCAAAGGTCCAGTTTCTGTGTTTTTGGCCCAGGCAAGTCTTTTCCTCTTATTCTGCACTCTTAACAATGGTTTCTCTGCAACAGTTGTTCCTGGTAGGTCAGCTTCACACAACCTTCTCTGAACAGTTGATTTTGAAACATTTGCAAACATCTAGTTGCATTGAGCTCAGCTTGTATTTCAGGGGCAGTTAGTGACTGGTTTCGCAGACTTGTGACTCTAATGAATGTATTCTCTTATTCCGAGGTCCTTTGGCCTGCCGGACCTTTTTCAGTCCTAATGAGTGCCAGTGTCTTCATATCGTTTGATAGTCTTGGCCACAGCAGTAACTGACACTTGCAAAGTTCTTGCAATTTGTCTTAAAGATTGACCTTCATTTCTTAAAGTAATTATATTTTTTTTTCCTTGCTTAACTGAGCAAATGATGCCATGTTCATTCAGGAATTACAAACTTTTGCCCATGCTCCCTATACTTATAGTAATTGTGGACCCTGCCCTGTTTACCAATAATTGGTGACAAAAAGTAAATGAGGTAACATGGTCGTTAACTGTGAGAACATCTAACAAAGACAATTTTAAACTTCTTTAAGTGTTCTAACACCATGTTATACACATTTCTGACTTTTAACTAACTTTGGCTTCAGACTGAAATCTTCTTGCTTTGGGTGTTCATTTTATTGAAAATACATTTTCAATGCAGTTCACTTAAGATTATAAGTACACATATCATGTAATTATATATTAAGTGTTTATAGACAAGCTTATACAGTTTAAAGCTCAGATAATCATGAAACATCTGGTTTCAAGCAGGTGTACTCAAACCTTTGACTGGTAACGTACTGCATGTGGCTAACAAGACTTGCTTTTATGGTTTTATTTTTTGCATTGTAGAACACATTGAATTAAATATGCTTAGGGTATATAAAGCAGTTGTATTGTTGCATGTGGAAATTGTATTAAATAAGTTAGTAACTAATAGTGAAAAGGGTTACTTCAGATACTTCACATTTTTGATAAGCCAGTCTTTATATTCACATATGAGTCAAGCATGCATAAAAATGGACTCACTGTGCAAACAATCCACCTTGAATGTATATATACAGTATATTTGCTGGCTCATGCAGTCTTTGCTCAGATCCTGGTATTATGCAGATACATATTCTGTCAGTTACTAGGAAATAACTGATTTTGACACCAATAATTTATTGTGCAATGTCTTTTACTGTTCTTCTCTTGTTTCTTCCTGAAAACGTCACATTTATCTCACAGGGTGCTTAAAAGAAAGTGACAAAAGCATGAAGAATTGTTCCTCAGATGTCTTATCTGTAGCTCTGCACCCTGGGACATTCTCAGCATATTTATCTTTCAGGATAAGGGCGCAGATTGAATGAAAACCTTGTACTTTCTGGCTTGTATCCAATGGCTTCCACCATCTGGTATAGGGTTTGAAATTTGTGATAAGTGGGTTTCTTGAAGTTTTTTAATGTGGGCCTGGTTCAGACAACAGTTTTGAATAACTTTAGTAGCATACTGTTTTTCTGATCCAAGAACAATGAATTCGCCTGAATTCGGGTTAATACAACCAAGAAAAGAATTCTTGAAAGCAGCTCTAAATCAAAACAACCACCATTAACTGAATACTGAGACGGGATGAAATCTGCTTTAAATCTCTTATCCCTGGTGTTTACAGTTCTACATTCATTTAAGGTTATTTCCCAGATCTGTTAAAGGGGAACTACAACACTATTTTTACATTTTGGATTAGAAAGAATCCACATTGAGTGCATTTCAAATCACAGTAAAAGTAAGAAATACACAGAACCTTGTAAAACCTCAAATTTTATACCACAAAATAGACAACATTTCCAGGTTTGTGCAGCACCATATTCTGTGATTCAGAATGAGGCAACAAAACTTCTGGTGACGTGATGCGGCCCTATGACATTGTTAACAAGCAGGCTAACCCGATGGAAATGTTCTTGACTTCATGACGGTTTTGCTGACAAGTGGAACTTATTAACTCTGCATTCGGATCACATTGGAAACTTTCTGTGGTGAAATGTCTGCTGCACAACTACATTGCGCTACTTTAGTCATTACAATGACTAACGAGCAGGAAGGGCTGCTTCACGTCACAATATGTGGGAACTCTCGTTCCCGCTCTTTGCGCCAACATGGCGACTTGTAGTACTTTCGCAAAGGTGACCGTTTTCTTGCTTAATTTGAAATTTATATTTTTTTTCTATACTATCAATTAATTTATTTTGTTACTAAGTTTTAATAACTGGTCTGAGAGACTGCAGTTCCCCTTTAAATCGCATACACTGATTTAAAATCCTTCCACCTTATTTTGTTAAAGTAATTATAAACATGAAAATATAAGACGGGTATGCTCAGTATAGAAAAAGGAGGCAGTCTTGCATTATTAATATTGTTTTTCAAGTAAATATTCATTCTTTCTAGACTTTTCTCAAAAATGAAGAATTGTCTACAGTTTCCCCAGCATAATACTGTTTAATGTATTTCTGGCTCTGAATAGCTCTTTGTTTCCCATCCCTAAATGGGATGGGGACTGAGCAGTGCTTTTGGCACTGTCAGTGCTGAGATAGCAGCTGCTGTTTCATCTGTTTCTGAATATGCAGAGTTTTTGCTTTCCCTGAATGTGCAACCCTGGGATTTTTTCCCCTGTATTTTTTAACAAGGACACAATTAAAACAAGCCTGTCACAGTGTCTGTGTGCACTTGTTCAGTAAGATGCCCCTCCATTGTATTGAGAACAAGCTGCCAGGATATGAAGTGTTTTACAGGGGGCTAGTATGTTTTTATTGCACCTTAATTTAAGGCTTACTAAGATACAAAATAGTCTTTTCCTTGATCTTCATTAATTCCTTCCTCATTTCACTTCCTGTTTGCTGGTCTGTGGTTCTCTGTCAAGAATTTTGCTTACAAAGTTGTATGCTGTAGGAACAGGCCATTCATTAAAAACAAAATGTGTAAACGTTTTTGGAAATCTGTCTGAATTTTTATGGTGATCCCATTTCTGAGAAGGAATCGGAAAACCTTTCTGCATAATATATCAGGATTATGGTGCACAATCAAACTGGTCTGTTTATGTATTTGTGTCTATCAACAAGAACAAAAAAAAATTAGTCGAACTACACTGTTGCACACACAGCAACTCAAAGCCAACTACAAAGATGGAATGACATGTTCAGTGGTATCTCACAGGAAACAGTTGGTATGTTCCACAATTCCTTTCCTTACAGAGCAGATGTATGTGTGTCCTATAATGGAAGGAGCAATCTTGTGCTTGTCCTCTGTAGATGGTTAAATGGCCTTCTAAGATGCTCTTCTTACATTCTTCAGGTACAGTGTGCCTCTGTGTTTATGTGAAAAAGTATGCCTGCTACATTACTGCTTTGTACAGTAGGGGCTCTCTATGGTAAAAGTCTGAACTGTGTCTTGTGAACCAGTTTCAGTTCAGGCAGCTGCACTTATTAACATAGCATTGGCCACTGTTCAGAACTGCACCTGGGATTGAAAGCTAAAATGAAAACAATTCAAAATACAGGTTTATAATGATGTACCATATATAGCTGTGTATGCTATACAAAACCACCTGCATCTGGCAAACAAAGAAAATAATGTGCATGTGAACATGTTACCAGAATAATGAACCATCCTCTTTCCCATAACCTGTTATACCGTCATATGATATTTAAGGAGTATTTTATCTCGATACATCCACAACTTTGGTAAAATGTCATTCTTTGCATGAATATTTGCATCAGAGCCCACTGATACCCAAGTGCAAACTACTGTTTTGTGTTTTGCCTGTGTTGTCTACTTTCATGCTTTGTGTGTTATTCGGTAGATTTTAAAAACCTTTTCCTCTGCATTTAAAAAAAATTCTGTCACCATGAAGTAAAAACTTGAACCCTTCATCCTTACAGGACTGGTAGCTTTGGACAGCAGCATGTCGGTGAAGACGGGTGGGGCCCAGACGAAATGGGTCGCTCTCAAGAGCAAACTGAACACCTCCCCAGACCCCGACACCCAAGCGGAGGCCAACCTCGAGAATGCGGATCCGGAGCTGTGCATCCGCCTGCTGCAGGTGCCCACGGTGGTGAACTACTCAGGGCTGAAGCGCCGGCTGGAGGGCAGCGACCGGGCCTGGATGCTGCAGTTCCTGGAGCTCAGCGGCCTGGATCTGCTTCTGGAGGCCCTGGACCGGCTGTCCGGCCGCGGCTGCTCCCGAATCTCGGACGCCCTGCTGCAGCTCACCTGCGTCAACTGTGTGCGTGCCATCATGAACTCCTCCTACGGCATCACCTTCATTGTGGAGAACGAGGGCTACATCCGCAAGCTGTCGCAAGGTAGGTTCCAGTCTTGCAGACTGTTGGGCTGCCTCCACCTTCCAGTTCTCTTCCAGCCTGAGCTTTCCATTAGTTCTTGAATCGCTTGCTAATAGCACATAAAGGTTAAGTGAAAACATGGTCACATTTCACAATTGCCACCTTGGATTTCTTCTTAAGTGTTTGCAACTTTGACTAGCCCACCAGCTGTAAAGCTGCAAACTCAGTTCTTGGTGGCTGCTTAGTGTTTGCTTCTTGATTCTACCAAAGTGTATGATACTCACTGTCAAATACTGATCTTATAATTTACAAGTGCCACAGGGATCAAAGTTCTGGTTTAGTCTGAACCCAAGTCAAGATTTCACACTGCTTTCTTATCAATGGTAGTTTTTATTGCTCCTGGATATTAAGTTAAATGTCACATACAGTATGGTCAGACATTTATGCTGCATTTTATAATAAGAACAAATGTTTAATATTTTAATATCAGTATTGCATTCTCAATAACAAGTGAAGAATAATCTGCTATTCTGGTCTAATTTGTCTTCTATTGCAACAGGTCAGGAAGGTATCTATCAACTGCAATAATTGCGCTGTGAAAATAAAAAAAAAAGTTCAATTGCAGTGAAAGAAATAATTGTTATTCACAATGTGTCCCTACAAAACAATGACAAGAGCCTATTGTAATGTTTACAACAATTATTCCAATGACACTGAAGACATAAAGACCAATCACAGATTACAGTAGGATCAGACATTTATAGAAACATATTTTCAATCAGTTTTTCCCATAAACATTTTCTGAAATTTCAGAAATTGACGGAACCTTCCAAAATACTGTATGTCTTTCTTTGAAGTTGTTGAGCACAGATTTATAATTTGGTGCAATTAGCTGTATTGTGAAGAAAGACCTTGGTACTTTATTTAGTGGTATTGCCCTTTTGGATTGAATGCAGGACTGTTTTGTCTCACAATAAACCTGCTTTATAGATCAGTATGTTTCAACAGTAAGAGATCATCCATGATTGACACTACCAGTTTAGGAAAAAAATCTACCTGTTGATTGCATGATTTGCATAAATTGCTAAATAAAGGGTTTAAACCAGTTTTGTTATAATTAACATATTCCTGTCAGGAGATGTGAGAATTCCTGTTGAGTATTAAATGTACTGTAGTTTACAAGGTTTAAAACAAACAGCCTTGTTTTTGTAGCTGTGAAAATTTACTAAAGGTCCAATAAGTAAGTTATTGTTATGGAAGAGTTAATAAAAACAGGATTTCTGGACTGAAAGATGAGACTATTCACTGAAATTTATCAAAGCTTTCAATCAGACACCCATTGTTACTGCTTTATTTTTACAGTTTGTCAGCTTGTCATGAGATTATTACTGCTTTAGTATTCTGAATACAAGTACTATGCTCTTTAAATGCCCGAGCTAGGGTTAGGATTTGAGCAACACCTAGACACTTTGTAATGCATTTGCTATGCTTTATGATGTATTTGAAATGCAGGTGTTGTTTTTGTTATTTCCTAAAATCGGCCCAATTTTGCAATTTCTGCAGACTTGGGCACATATCAATCAAAAATCAGAAGCTTGAAAACAGACTTTTTGTACTTATGTTTTAATATATATGTTTTGCCAAAACTTAGTGGTAATTGATGTACTTATCAGTAAATGATACCAAAAGGCTTAGTGTATTCACTATTTCGGCAGCAGGGTACAAAAAAATGAAATACTGGAAATTTGAAACCAATTCACAGCAGAAACATTTAAAAATCTTTAAAACTTACTTTGTGTTTCGGGATAATTTGGAGTCATTTAGGTAACTTTTTGAACAAAGTGTTATACTGCAGGGCTTTTGAAATTCTTTTAGTGTGAAAACAAACTTGTCAGGGCTTTAAAAAAGCAAAGAATCTTTACATTTGTCACAGGGCAGTTTATTTTCTGTAATAATGGATGGAAAATTAGCATTTCACGTTTTGTTTTAATGTATCTGCTTCAAATAATTAAAACAAAGCATATTTTCTGTGGTGGGGAAAAATGTAAAGAAGTCTTAATGGCCTTATTTTCATTGAGAGGAGGGGTAATGGGTTTGTATGTCACTAATCCAACAGATTGAGAAATAGTAAATATTATTGATTTCAGCTCTGGACACTACAAATACTATGGTGAAGAAGCAGGTGTTTGAGCTGTTCGCTGCTCTCTGCATATATTCCACTGAAGGCTACAACTTGGCCTTCGATGCTCTGGAACATTATAAGGCAAGTAACTTGCATAAATGTATAGGGTCATGCTCTTGCAGAGTACAAAGGCACTGCCTGAAATGTTAGAACTATAGATGCAAGCATATACTGTAATATGGTATCTGTTGGAACTGATGTGTTGCAGTGGAGCAAAAATTACAATGATTGCATAAACTAGTGCCTATTTTGAGTCACCAGGTTATTTGTATTTTAACAATCCAGATTTTTACATCTGCTTTAGAACGTTTCTCTTTTTTTCAAAAAGAAATATGTATATCCTTTATTTTATGAAAAAAAAAGTTAATCAGAAATCAAATTCAATGTAAAAAGAAAATGTGTTTTCTTTGTGGCTTTTATTTAGCATGTATTTAAATCGGCACAATATAACCAAACTTCAGCTACTGTACATAACACCAGCACTGCCTGCCCTGTAGTGTACATGATTTTGCTGTACTGTATATAACTACGTTCAAGGCGCTAGCTGGCTGTGATTCTTATTGGGAATAAACAGCTTTAAGACCGATTTACTGTATGCAGCCTTGCAAAATTAATTTTTGATTACATCCTAAGTAATTTAAAGCCTTTTTCCAATCTATATTGAAGGTAACACAATCTTTGTTTGCATTTTCTGAGCTACACATGCTTTAATTAAAGTATTTTTGGAATAAATTAAGCTCATTTTGTTCAAGGGCAGAAGACTTGAATATAGTAGAGACAAAAAATTGGTTTGCAATGTTTGTTATGTTATCATAGAAAAGTGGGCAAACACCTCTGAAAAGTTGGTGGATGCCCTTAAAATGAATCAGTTTTGTTGTGCAGATCTGAATGTTAACTTGCATTTATTTTGATTTCCCCAACAGAGTGTAAAGAGCCAGGTGTACCGGTTCAGTGTCATCATGAATGAGCTACAGACCACAGACAATGTGCCTTACATGTGCACCCTTTTGAGCTTCATCAATGCACTCATTCTGGGAGTTGAGGACCTGCATCTTAGGGACAAAATCAGAAAGGAATTCATAGGTGCCTTACTACTCTCTTACTAATCAATCAGAAATACAATCCAGAAAACTATTTTTATGTTTGAATGAATCTGAAACACTCTGCAGTTCCTTGAAGTCGGCCCACTCACACACTGACATTGTAGTTTCTCACAGGTTGGGTTATGTTCAATGCTCTGGGCTGCTGATCCCTTAAAACCAGTTAGGGCCTGAATGTAGTTAATGGGAGATATCATTCTGACCAGTTCACCAGTCCAGCCACATCAAACTTGTGATTGTGTGGTTGATATTATTTATTTTTTGTACATTCGAGGCCAGCACTCATTTTGTCTTTGTGCCAAAGATGTATTTTTGCACGCATTTCCTTCTGAAGAGATCAGAACTGCCCTAGCTGTGTTTCTAGGCTTAATAAAATTGAATATGCACCTTTTTAAATTCAATATCTGCAACAGTTAAAGCTTTTGAATTAAAATTAAAAGGAACTGCAGGCACTTTGTGAGGTATAACCAAGGAAAGCCAAATCCATAACAAACTAGTATTTTGCATCCAAGACTCCTAGTCGTGTGAAAATCACATTTCTACAGCTGAAAACTTGAATATACCTTTTGGTCACCAGTGTCAGCCTACACTGTGACAGACAAAACTTTGAATGGCAAAATAGACTCACAGGATTCTTTTTTTTTTAATTTAGTTTATAATACATAATCACAGTAATGAAAATACCAAACAAAACATTAGTCAAGAAAGACATGAGCAAACCCATGCCTTTCCTTTTCCCATCTTCAGCTGCTTAGAAGGGGATTCTTTGATTTTAATCATTTTAGAAATACTTCTTTAGTATTTAGTATAGTACTTTAGTCTGAAGTACTATAAAGCCTTCTCAATTCTACAAAATCTCACACCTCCATCCTGGCTTTTCCAAACTCGAGAAGCACAGTGGAAAAGTAGGTGAACACATTACTGAATTGTCACAGAACCACTTTGTATAATCAGGGCAGCCAGAAATCTAGGAAAAGACATAAGGTAGGTAAATGCATGAATCGGTATCTGTAGATTTGAACCTTTTCAGATGTACTGGACTTTATTTTTTTGCTGCTGTTTAACTGTGAAACAAGTCATTCTTGAGGAAAGACAATAGAAATACATTTTAATTTTTCAGGTGGTATATTAATGCCAGTATCACTCATTAACCTCATTCTGGGTCATCATAATCCTTTTACTGTTTTACTGCCATGAAACTGAGGTACCATATTAAGGTTGCTAGTGTTTAAATCCATTAATGGCCTCTAAGCATACGTTTTCATCCCCTAAACAAGAAGGCAATTAAAGAGACAACAATCTGTATGTTTCTAACACTGTACCTGGTTCCTTTGTTACAGGTGTGTCATGCCTGAAAATGATTTATCAGGACTTTATCCCATTCTTTGGGAGATTTGTAAAATTTACTACAACATCTACCCATCACAATAAAATGGGTTAATGTTAATGGTGAACCCCGCAGCAGCGCAAGCTTTAACAAGCACTACTGATCCTACTTATGTTATCCATAACACATGCTCTCCCGTCACATCGTGCTTATAGCTGCCTCCTGTTTTTAGTTTTAGCGTTGAATTAAAAGGACCAAATGCATAACCCGCTGTGACTAAGACTACCTTGATATGTGTAATATGGTTCGGTAGAAACATACTGCTGCAGTCTACGTTTTATATTTATAATAAAGATTAATTTAAAAGGCTGTACAAGGTTTAAATATAATAACTTTTTTTAATATGCTTTAAAACTAAACATTTTATCGTGAATAATACCAATTTTACAAAAAAATAAGACTTCATCTATATCATCTACATGCCTAGAGAGAGCGAAGCCCCGCCGAATGCAACAGCTAACTTTTAATTCTCAGTACTACGAATACGAAAACATTACTCTAGCTTGCTCTGAACAAGAAACACCCGAATGCTTCTTACAAATTTTCGTAAATACGAGCATATTGTGATAATTTTAGGATATAAATTATTCTTAGTGTATGATAATGTTTATACTTCTTTTAATCTTGTTAATTGAATTCTAAATAGTATACACGTGAAAGCAATTAGGTTGGTCTTTAGTCCTGTGGCTCAAACAATGCATGTTTTCTAACTTCCATGTTCGTAAACGAAAGGCAATGAATCATACCTTAAAGTCAAGTGTTTAACAAAAGTTAAAAATAAAAATAAAAATACAGAAAGTAAACGTCTTCCTTAAAAGGACAATCCAGTGATCATGTGTATTCTTCTTTCCTTGTTTTAGGGCTACACTTGTTGGATATACTGCCGAATTTAAGGTAAGTGTGTGGTATGTTTATGTTGATCGATGATACGGATACTTTGTTACACCTGTAATGTCTACTGACAGACAATGATTGCATGAAGCTGAAAGCACCCATGGTTCATTTGCTGTGTCCAGTTTGCAGCGTATATGGTTTGCGTAATCTTAATACATTCTGGTCTATATCTTTACATTTGTTGCTGTACAATTGTACTTTTGATTACGCATGTTCTGGGTTTAAAGATTTTCATCAAATAAACAAAGCGAGATAACGAAATCGGCAGTCGTGCACAATATCGATTATCGGACTCTAAGGCAATTACCGCCATTAATAATTGCCTGCTGAAGAAATGAACAATATTTAACCGCCCCTCCCCCCTTTTAAGAGATCCTTATAAACCCCAAAGTATGATATCTGCATGATTTCAAATGTAACATAGTCAGTAATCAATGTTTTCCAGCTGTAGTAAATCATAGAATAATATATAATAGTTTATCCCCTAGTTAATAATATGAATGTGAAACTGGTCCCAATGATACTTCTATTCCCAGATTATTTAAATTTAGATTTTATTGTGCAGGTTCTCCAGAATCATGATAATCTTCCAAATGATTGTGTGTGGAGGCCCAGTGGTCACATAGCAGTTAGCTTCACAGCTCTTGGATCCTGAGTTGCTTTCCAGATTGTGGTACAGTACTTTCTATATGGAGTTGACATGTTCTCTTCAAGTCCATGTGAGGCCATGTGAGTCTCCTGCTGCTCCAGTTTCCTTCCAAAGGCATGCAGGCTAGACTATTTAGTTTATCTTGTCATTGTCGGTGCATTTCCTGTCCAGATTGATGTAGCCCTGTTTTGAACCACATGTTTTCTGGGTCTGGGTTCCTGAGCCTTTACTGGGAATAAATGTCTTACGATAATGGATAGTGAGATTTGACATTTGTGTATCCATAATGTACTCTGAGATTTTTCAAAGTGACTGATACAGGAATGATTCAAATGGCTCCCAAATTCAAGATTTCAGCATACAGCATGATGTATACATTGAACTAAAAACTAAGTGTAGGCAAATATTTTTGTTTGTTCAGGAACTTTTCATTTTCATTCCTCCAGGTTTTGAGAGCTGTATCTGCTTTGATGATGCAATTTCTTCATTCTTACCAACAGGGAGAAGGAGGATGTAGACCTGATTATCCAATGTGAAACATTTGAGGAAATAATGTCTGAGGATGAGGAAGAACTGTTGAGGATCTATGGAGGCATCGATATGAGCAACTATCAAGAGGTTTTTACCACACTCTTTAATAAGGTAAGCATTTATAGCATGTTGCATGTGCAGTATTTGTTATACAAAGGTTAAGGGACTACAGTGCGTGTCAACTGTGTGCAATGACCATGTGTACTGTATGTCTTCGCTGAAAGCCTGTTATGATTAGTGATTCCATCTCTAAAACCCTGTGAATACATTCAGGTGAGTCATTACAAATTGGAGGTTGTATAATCAGCTTGCCAGTGTCAGTGGAAATAAGGTACACTACAAGAAGATTTTTTTTAAATCCTGCCTCTTAATTTCCTTAAAACTTTAGAATCCTAGAACACATAACACAGAGTAGGAGTTCAAGGGTAAGAAATCCATTGTAAGGTATTGTATGGTCATTTTGAATTGCACGAATAGTAGCAGATATATGAAAAACACAAGACTGGCTACTTATCTGCCCATCTGGATGCTTTTCATGTTTTTCATCTCTTGCCAATGTGAATCATTTTTAGTGGGCTAAGGCTGTAGAGGAGACCGCAGTCCAGGATGACTACCTGAACAGTTTGTCATCAGTGAAGCTGAAAGCTATACAGTATGCGGTGTAATTCGTATTTGTAATGAATCATTCAACAAATATAATCATGTGGTGACTTTTGTGATCGTAACATGGGAAATATATTGATATTATCCTGAGCAACAAAACAGAATTGTTAAGTTACTTTCTTTATTTTTCATTCCTCTTTATTTTTTCTATATTTATCATTTTTCTGCTGTATTCCAATACAGCTTTTTTTCTGTTTTGCCGTTTTACCTCAACACCTTTCCTTTTTTTGTTTCTGTTTTATATTGCTCCCCTAAAACCAGAGCCAGCAAAGTCTCAATCTACTTTGTGTTACATCATATGTTCCTCAAGAATCTTTAAGTCCTGTTGTGTGAGCTGGGAGATTTCACTGCCCACTCGCTGTATCTCATTTTTTCATGACCGGAACCTGATGTTCCCTATTATTCACGGAAGGATAGATTATGATCACAATCTAGAAAAAGAAAGGCTTAATATCGTAGTAGAAAGTAATACATGAAATAATAAGATTTATTATTTAGAACATGATAAACAGAATATTAAAGGCTGATTTCATAAAACAAAAGAAATATTATAGCCATAAAAGGTCTAACAAAGTCATTGAGCCATCAGTTTTTGCATGGTTGCATTCTTCTCCAATTGAGAAGTGTCAAGGTTCCAACAAGACCAGTGTGTTTTTGGTTTGCAGCCTCGCCAATTTTGATAGCAGTATTGAGTTCTTGCTGGGGCCTGGTTATTTCTGACCCAAGGCCCAAATCTGATATCTGTGGGACAAATTCAACATAGCCATCAACAGGAGTTAACCGCTGTCTTCACCAGGTACACTGGAAGAGGTGGAACATTCAACAGTAGTCTGTTTAGAGGCTGTTCCGGTCTATGTGATGATACTGACGTGGTTCTGATCATGTAGAGGGTGGTTATAACAAGTATTATGTAATGTTTTGGTATTGAAAATATATTGGGACTTTATTTTGTTATTTATGCATTTGGTGATTTTATCAGTATAAATTGCATAATGACTCTTGCAGGCCTGGATGAAGGGTAGATCATTTCTCTCCGTTGTGTTTCAGGTGAGCAGTACTCCTGTTTCTGTCCAGCTGCTGTCAATTCTCCAGGGTCTTTTGCATCTAGGGCCTGCGAACTGCAACATCTGGCAAGCACTAGATATCCTCACCAACAGAGCTATACTGCTGGCTGAAGACGGTGAGTCATCTCCCCACCCTTGCCAACTTGCGCTCTGGAAGAATGGAATTTGTGCAAAACTTTCTACTTCCAAGTTTTTTGTTTTTCAGTTCGTGACGACTCAGTTGAAACCATTATGAAACGTCTGGTAATCTCCAAAAGAAGATCCTGCTGGGAAACTGCCACTAATGGAAGTTCATCAAAGAAGGTGGACACGGGGGTGCAGACTGAATTTACAGGTGTTGGACATGAGAGATCCATCCACTGCCCTGTTTCTGTGACTGTGCCAGCTTCCTGTCAGAGTGGGAAAACAACGCCTTCACCCCCTCTACCTGATACGGGGAGTCCAATACCTTCTCCTTCAACACCTGTGCCTGGGGTTGTGCCACCTCCTCCTCCACCTCCCCCTCCTCCACCTCCTCTGCCAGGTATGGGTGGGGCCATGCCCCCACCCCCTCCTCCACCTCCTCTGCCAGGCGTGGGTGGGGCCATGCCCCCACCCCCTCCTCCACCTCCTCTGCCAGGCGTGGGTGGGGCCATGCCCCCACCCCCACCTCCACCTCCTCTGCCAGGCGTGGGTGGGGCCATGCCCCCACCCCCACCTCCACCTCCTCTGCCAGGCATGGGTGGGGCCATGCCCCCTCCTCCACCTCCTCTGCCAGGCATGGGTGGGGCCATGCCCCCTCCTCCACCTCCTCTGCCAGGCGTGGGTGGGGCCATGCCCCCTCCTCCACCTCCGTGTCCAGGAATGGGCGATGTTGTCGTGGCTCAGACCTCCCAGTCCCTCGGTTTTTCCGTTCCAGCTTCTTACAGGTCCAAATGTTACCCCACCCTTAGAATGAAGAAACTCAACTGGCAGAAGCTTCCTTCCCAAGTGCTCACAGGTAGGAGAACTTGCACTAACCTAAATGTAAAAAAAATGCACATAAAGTCACCAAAATGACTGGAAGTAGACTTGATCATACTTCTCCCCAATATGATGATTTCCTGTAATTTATTCTGTTTCTCAGGCCCAACTTCCCTGTTAGATGTCTGTCATGATTGCTTTGTTCAGTGATGGTATTCTTAGTGTGTATGATACCTGATATATTGTGTCAATAAGGAATAGGCGAGGGATGGGTAACCCAAGTCCTTAAGGAATGTAAGATCCTCTAATTTATTCAAATTCTTGTATAAATTAGTTCAATTAAATTCATTTAAATGTCAAATCTTAGTTGTACATTACACAGTTTTAGAAAACTTTTACTCATTGCTGTTTTGAAAGCCGTGAATATAAGATTTGACATGCCATGCTTTTACTTCTCATTGATTTGGCTCATGCACCATTTTATGATGAAATCAGTGTTGCTCTGTTTTATTAAAGAGAGCATCCATGTCCTGTCTCTGTCTGTATACAGATAGCCATTCCCTTTGGTCTTCAGTGCAGCAGCAAAACAGCCCCTTGGAGCCTGACTACTCCAGCATTGAGCAGCTCTTCTGCCTGCCTGTGGCCCAGCCCAAAGGCAAGGAAGCCACCACACCAGTCAAGAAGGAACCCAAAGAGGTGAGCAGTAGAGGGTTCTCAATCTGGCCTACACTGTTCACCTCACGCTATTAGAGTACTGCTACAAGAAATACCTGTAAGAGATAAAAAAAGGCTTGTGTATGGATTTTGATGGAATATGGGAAATCTGAAACAAATATGCATATTATACGACAGTGGAAACCCCTTTTTGTGTCGCTTTGCTTTCAAATTAGTTTTACATGAGCACATTTTGGTTTTAAATTGTAATGTGTTAGTGTTCACTTCAAAATGCATTTTTAATGATGGACTTTTTGCATTGTCAATCTCTAAATCAAACATAGTGGGAGTTTTGTCACAGAGCCACAATGACCTCATGTTTATTTTTATAGATATTTTGTGGTGGGAATGGTACCAAAGCTGAACAATCATGGCCTCTAGTGGTCAGTAAGAGTAATTGCACTCAGGGTGTTGTCCTTTTTGCAGAAGGCTGTTTGTAAAGGTACCTGCACTAAATTGTGAAATTAATATTAAATGCAAACACAATGAACTATAAAGGCAAAGGCCATGTAAACAGAAGCAATTAGACCAGTGGACAAGAATCACTAGATTTAAATTGAGATTGTGTGTGTTGAGGGCAGGTGTATCTGGAATTGAATTATACAGAACACCTGTTTGATCAGTTTTCATTGATGTGATTTTTTTTGTGGTCGGGAAGGATGACAGAGGCCTCATACTCTTCAGTCCAACTATTCATTACCTGCTACTAAGACAGAATTCTTTCAATGGGTGGGTTTCCCAGCAAGGGAATACAGGTGTTTTACCTTTTGGTCTTTTTTTATCAACAGATTACGTTTATTGATGCCAAAAAGAACCTAAATCTAAATATATTTTTGAAGCAATTCAAGTGGTAAGTCATTTTTTCTTCTGTTTCAGAATATTGTCTAATATACAGATTGAGGCAATGGTTTAAAAATTTCCTTTTGTTGTCCCAGCTCCAATGAAGAATTTGTTGCCATGATTCGGAATGGCGATCGCTCCAAATTTGACGTGGAAGTATTGAAGCAGCTTCTGAAACTTCTTCCTGAAAAACATGAAGTGAGTTTAAAGGATAATCTGCATGGATTGTGTCTTGGGACATGTGTGGGAGGAAAAAAAAAGACTAAATCAGATTCTTTGGGTGTACTGAGTGTTTATACTGTAGTCCAGTGATGCTTTAAGATGTAGTTCACCTTGAAATGTAGTTAACCATTTTGAAGGTGTGGAAAAGCACATCATTCATTTTGCTTATTTTGTAATGATCCTATCTTCACATAGAAGTGATATATTGCTACATTTACTTAAACACTGCTTTATGATATTAGTGCTCATTCCTAAGATTTATGATCCCATCGCAAAACCAGTCAACAAGTGTCATCACACAACACATTTTCTACAATGCCTTTTAAAGTAGATACAGTAGAACTGAAACACTAGGTAGAATAGTCCTAAAGAAAACACTGATGGGGGGGAAAATGTATTCATCTCAATTTACAGAAAAATAGTTATGAAATTTCATGTATTGCCACTGAGCTCTGATTTTTTTTTTTTGTCCTTGTGCACAGTTTGTATTAACTTTTATTTTTCGAACAGATTGAAAATCTGAAGTCATACCAAGGAGAGAAGGAGAAACTGGCAAAAGTGGATCAATTTTATCTCCTGCTTTTGGCTGTCCCATGGTACTTTTATTTTGATCATGCATAGCATCTCCAGTCTTTGTCAACATATATAATTTATAAATAATTGGATAGATTGATATATTTTTTTTGGGGGGGACATGAGCTCATCTCATGAGAGAAAAGAACATGTGCGTATTTTCCTGTGTAAAGTCATCCATTAGCCGAGTCTCTTGCAATTGGCTGTTCCAGTCTTGAAGAAGATGCTGAGTGACGGATCTTTCTCTCGCCCCCCAGCTACCAGCTGCGGATTGAGTGCATGCTGCTGTGTGAAGACACAGCCTCCGTGCTGGAAATGCTGAGGCCTAAATCTGAACTGATCCATACTGCCTGTGAAAGTAGGTTTAAATCCACATGAGGTTTTGTGTGACTTTTCTGCACGTTTAGGTTAATGTAGGGTACGTGTACATTGAAAGTCCGCAAATCTAAAATAGAATCCACTTCAGTGGGCTTCCACAGAGCAGGGCTATTTATGACTGATTTAATGAATGAAAATGTTATCCTTTAGCATGTTGCCCTTAAATCATCAAACATATATTCAGATTCAGAGCCAGCCGAAATGTTGGGTTTCTTTTCTTCTCTTTTCAGCATGGAATAAACCTATTACTTGTTCCTTTGACGCAGCTACTGTACCTACTTGAAGTATTTTCAGATTTGCAGGAGATTGGGCTTCATCTTTCTCCTGTTACTCTCTAGTCTCTGATGGTCATAGTTGGCTTTGCTGTAATACGGAAAAGTTTTAAGTAAAGGTTTATTCCTTGCTAAAAGAGAAGAAATAATATATGCTATATATGCATATAGTTTTATGCCGTAATATAACTAACTCGTGTCAGAAAAACTTGTTTGCAGGTGCATGAGTGGCACATTGCTAATATCCACTGAAATCAATTTAAAAGTGATTAATATTAATCTAACATGTTTATTTAAAATTAATTCTTGAGTAAGAAGTGTAATGGGTTTTTTTGGTAAATTATAATTGGTGCCGTTTCTTTTAACTTTGCATTGCAGTGCTGAAGCTCTAGTAGATTCGTGCTCTGCGGGGCTGTAGGAAGTCTGTTCTGTGCCGTTTGTAGTCTACTGTGTGAATTTTTAATTTCTTCAAAATTTTTCTGAACTCATGAAACCTTCCCACAGTCTCCAAAACAGTCTCATCTTTTTCCTCATGTCTAGGTCTCCTTACAAGCACACGATTGCCAAATTTCTGTAGACTAATTCTTGATGTTGGGAACTTTTTAAACTATGTAAGTGTTGAACGCTTCGTATTGAAAGAAAAAGCTTACTGTATGTGTTATTTAAGGGATCTTGAATAAAATAGTAAATGATTTGTGTATGAAGCCTGGGTGTTTTCAGTTCAAATGTAAACGTGGAAAATTTATTTTTAGACTTAATAGTACCATTTCTTGGGAAAATCTACTATCCTTTACTGAGCTTTCTAGCATAAGATATGCTTACTTCACTCTACATTGCATTGAAGAAATAGCTTATAAGTCCATTCTGAGTAGCATTAATTTAATCTTTTATTTGATTGAGTTATATTGATTTAATTGAGTATATTGACTTATTTGAGTTAATTGAGCACATTCTCATTTACAATGGTACGATTTCAACCCATGAACCTCTGGCTTGGATTCCATTGCACTAACCATTACTCCACATTTATATTGCCATTATGTTGCCAAAGAAGAGTTTATGGGAGCCTTTAAGTCTATATTGTATGTTTTGGATGGAAGTGCAGGAAATGGAAACTGAAAACATGAAAAAACTGATTATTTTTTGTGCTGTTTCCTTCCTTTTGTAGGGAACTCACACAGGAAATGCAGAAGGATTTAAAATTAGCACCCTTTTGAAACTAACCGAGACCAAGGCAAACAAGTCGAGGATCACGCTACTACATCACATCCTGGAGGTAGGATTCAGTTACCTTCAAGTCAGAGTTGTAATAAGTAGGACAAATTGTCACCGTGACAACAGTAGTAGTCCCTGCTGCAAGCTGTTCCCAGTGCTCACAGCACCACCACTAGGCAGCCTTATTTTCACATTTTTCCCCACAAAGGCCCAAAATGCACTGCTAGGCACGTGTATACCTTAATAAAGAAGGAAACTAACCATCTGCTTCGAAGAATGAATAAAATTGACTTGCATCCGGGAGTGAAAGCAAGTAGTTAGATCCACATTTTTTCAACAAGTGGATCAACACCATGTAAAGTACATTGAGCCTCTGCCAGTTCTCCATTCTCATACTGCCCAATGTACACTGAAGTGAAAGAGGCCCATAGACCAGTTGTTGTAACAATAGTGAAGGGAATAACAATCATATCATTATACAGAAATTGTATTGTTTTATTGCCAGACCTATTTCCTCTGCTCTGATATACAGTATCATGTTGGGGCAGAATGTGGTTAGATGCATTTTGTTTCTTTTGCTCAGCGTTTGTATTAATACTAATGAAACCAATTGCTGAATGTCTCGTTTGTGAAAAGCAGCTCTTGAAAATGTTAACTTTTATGACAAAATGAGTATGAAACTACATGACAAAGCTTGAATCTCTAGGCTTGTCAGTGTTTACACCTCAGCTGGAAACATACTACAGGGCACAGCATACATGTTAGAGCCAACATGCATAAATGTTTGAATTAACGGCAATTGTTGTTTTTTTTTCAGGAAGCTGAGCAAAACTACCCTGATTTGTTAAACCTACCAGATGATATTAAAGTCTGTGTAAAAGCTTCAGGGTAAGAGATAGTGCGGACTCTTATTTCTTTTGATTTCTTATGATTTGATTTCTCATATGCAATTACTAGTTACTTGCAAACAACCAGTGACTACAGCTCGTTTAATTTTAACTCACAGTGCTTTCCTCTTTAATGGTTATCCACAACTCCCCTTTAATTAAAATAAGATCCCAGATCCATTATTTTACTGTACTTGTCCAAAAAGTGTCTATTTCAGAGAGTTAATTGAATGAGCTGAACAATGTGTTTGTCCTTTTTTTGTATTTTATCTGCTATCTCCACACATCTTAAATTAAAATGATGTGCATTTAAAGAGTCACTTAGATAATTGCACAGTTTTTATTTTAAGTGTTTGCAACAATATTTTAACATGTGATGAGAAAAAACAATCTCCAGTTTGTTTGAGGTGTAAAACTTCCTTTGAAAAATCCATCCTGCTTTCTTAAGTCTGTGCTGTGTTTCAACCTCACAGAATTAACATAGAATCCATCCAGTCAGAAGCTAGCTCCCTTTCCAAACGCCTGAAAGATGCCGCAAAGAAGATAGCCTCATCTGTGGAAGATATGAAAGAGCAATTTGAAAAAGTGACACAGGTATGTCTAAGAAATTAAGTAAACCTTTTATCATGGGGACACACTTTAAAGCCTTTTGGCCCATTTGAGATATTACAGTGTAAATATAGTCCTAAAAAAGAGGCCATTAGTTAATAATAAACTTAGTTTTCCTATCTGTAGAAAAAAAGAGCTTTTTTTCTTTATTTAAACATACTCCTGTATAGCTGAGAAACACAGTATCCCCTAGTTTAATAACCTTGTTTGACCTTTCCTCCTTCTAATTTTGTCCTGCAGTGGACATAACTCTTCCATAGAGGCTGGGGAATGTCTGAAGGCATATTGCTGGCTGGGTCTTACAGCAGTGCACTGGAAAAGTGCTGTAGCATCATGTTAGCCAACAGAGGGCATCTGTCTTGTGGTGTCATGGCTGCAATGTCAGCAAGTGAAATCTATTGGCATCAAGAGAATATTCTATAAATAACGTTCTATAGGTAATAGCTGATGAGATGGGGAATAGCAATTAATATGAAACTAATGGTAATCCATCTTCCAAAAACATTACAAGTAAGATTTAGCATATGGGGCCTGTTGTAAGTCTTTCTAATTTTTATTTTAAGTGTCTTCAGGTTTTCCTCTTTTCACTAGCTTTGCACAGAGAGCAATTAATTATATGAGGGAAGTCACTAAAGAATGCATGAGGACAGCTCTCCAGCTTCAGGATCCATCTTACTTGGTGTTGCCCATTAGGGTCTATAGCTGGCGTCAATTAGAAATAATATACTTTTCTCATCTCGGTTTAAAGGAGTAGATTCAAGATGGAATCAAAATCTAAGATGCAGGGAAGCTGTTCTACATACAGTATGAGCTATATGTGCAAGAAAATAATAAATATTTCTGTTAACAGAATTCAAAACTAAATAGCCACATTCTCTGATTTCTGCACAATGTGACTGAATTATGCATTGTTTGGCCATACCAATTGAAGTACAAATTTAAATATGATGTACAATGTCAGAGGTTTAGATTTTGTAATGACAGGTTGCATAATCAAATGGTTTGTTTCCAAATTGGGTAACTTGAAAAACAATCAAAGGACATTTTCTTTGGTGAATTGGAATGATATTTGTCCTATGTATGTAGACTAAGACAGATTCCCTCTGAAGACTGTTTTTGAGAACATACAAAAGTGTGTTATGACCCTAAAGAGCAAGGCTGTCCAGTCGAGGCCTTGAAGGGTGCGTCTGTAGGGTTTTTAACTGTCTTAAAGGCAGCAGCACTTTAAGAATTTAGAGAAACTGTTAAATTGGTTCGGTTAAGCCAGTAGCAATTTGACGTAGCTCATAAACAGCCGACCTGGACAGCTGCTATTGAGGGTGCAGACAGGGCTTTGGTTATTATGGAACACGGATAGAAAATCAAGTTTTCTAAATCATCTCTTTGAAATAAAATGCAGAACTGTGTACAACTCGGACGATATGTTGACTTTTACTCACGAATAATCACTGCTTCCATTTCTAGCAAAATCTAGAAGAATGTCTGAAACTTGAAGACCGTTTTGTAGCCATAGAAAAGAAGAAGGAGGAGCTAGCTACTTACCTGTGTGAAGACCCAAGCAAACTGTCCTTAGAGGAGCTTTTTAACACCTTAAACACCTTCCAAGGCCTCTTTGTGAAGGCTCTCAAGGTACAGTTACACCATAAACTGTAAGCCATATACAGACCAGATTGATACCATTTGCTTAGAGAAGTCACTCTTCAGTCTAGTAGGGGTATTATTTTCCTCATTTTGATTGAAAACTCAGAACCAAGAACTATGTCTTTCAACAGCTAGGCACAGGACAGATTGTTAAATATTGGTCCTCATATTCTGACTGAAGGTGATTAAATGTCTTTCAGTTTTTAAAGATCTGTTAGCCTTTTGTAGTTTTATCATTATTAAGAAAACACGTTATTTTGACTGTGAAGCTATCTTTATTTATTAAAAACTATAATTTGCTTTTCATTTTCAGCTGCTTCATTTTTATGCTTCTGTGAGTCCTTTCTCTCTTCCCCCCCACCTTAAACTTGTACGTCATAGTACTGCTGTAGGATGTGCAGCTTTTGTACAGTGGGAATCGCATTGCTTTCTCTCAGGTTCAGTCCCAGCTCTGCTCTACATGGAGACGCCTCTCACAGTGGTGGGTCCTGCTACACCAATACCCCAGCCTCCCCTTCTCAGGAGAATTAATGACTAATAGCTTTATATAAGCAAAGTTTTGTGCAACACAGAAGGCAATTAGAGAGTTACCGTCTTGTCAAGTAAAACCCCGCCTGTTAACTTTCAGGAGAACCACACATGGAAAGAGCAGGCTGCGAAGGCAGAGAAGCGGAAGAAGCAGCTTGAAGAGGAGGAGTCCAAGAGGCAGAAGGGGGCAAATGGAAAGATAAGTAAGTCGTATGCAAGATAGTAAACATGGATTTAGAAAAGGAGGATCTTGCTTAGAGTCTGTTAGTGTTCTTTGAACAAGCAACAGCAGCAGTGTTAAGTAACTAGACTATATGTACAAGTATGTCTGGCTGGCCTTTGAGGTGATGGTTTAACACTGAACTGTCACTAGAGAGGAGTTCATTAGATTACTGGTGGTGGTTAAGTCCTCAGGTGGATTGTAATTAATAGTGTTTGGGGATGTAAAACATTTCCACTACGTTAGTGGTAGGTGGTTTGGGTGTTTGACAGCAGCCAGGAAATACTGCAGAAAAGTCTGCTTAGCAAATCTCTACCATAAAATCTTCTTTGGCTTCATGTATTTTCCTTTGTGAGTTTTTATGAGTTCAGATCCCTTGAGCCATCGAAGTTATGGGTGGAGTCTATGTCACAATTGCATAGAATGTCGAGATTTTCCAAAGGCTTGAGTTAAAATAACTCATGAAGTCTTTATTCTTAAATGACCGGCAGTAGGAATTCAATTAAATGTGTTTGGTGGCAGCACAGTGGTATGGTAGTTGGCATTGCTGCCTTGCAGTGCTGGGATCCTGGCTCAATTCCAGAGCTGGGGTGCTATCTGCATCGTGCGTGTTTGTATGTTCTCCCTGTGTTTGGGTGGGTTCCCTCTGGGTGCTCTGGTTTTCTTTCTTGTGCCCACTGCTTGAGACACTGTCACGGGGTAGATGGAGCCTGAATTGCAATGAAAAAAAAGCAGTTCGAAAATTGATTTATTGTTTAATATATATCTGTTAATGCATAGATCACATTACAGATAAGGGGTGAATACTGAACTGAGGTGGTATAATATGTGTTACAGGCATAATTTTTGGGAGCACTGTTCTTCAAAGGTTTTATTAGTGTTTTAGATTCTGAAATGGCTGACTAGTTACGTTATTAGAGAATACCAAAACAGGAGGATTTGTAAACACTAGAAGAAAGGAAATTAAAAAGGAGTGTGATATTATTGTAGAATTTAAAACAATGATATGGTATAAATGTACAATACAATAATAAGCACTCATTTAGAATATTGTGTAATATTTCTGCTCTGGGTATGTGTTGCTGGACCAATGTGAGAGATTTTCCTGGGCTCAAAAGGGAACGTCCTACTATGAAATTCTGATAAAACTGATTTTTTTTTAAGTCTTGACTTGGAAGTGCATTTAAAATGGAGACCAGGAGGCACTTCTTTACCCAAATGGTGGTGGAAATCTGTAACACATTAACCAGCCATGTAAACTCCAATATCCTGGGACTTTATCAAGAAACAGTCAAATTTAGTTTTTAGTTCCTAAAAACAAAATGTGCAAGAAAAACCCAATGTCCTCCATTCGTATGCAACCTTTCTTACATTCTTGTGAGCCTGATGTTTCAGCAGTCCATGGGCTATCTGCAAATTGCGTTTCCTGCCTCTTCAACTGACTTTTCTTCAAACTGCACATGAGCCAAAGCTGTTTCTCTGCTTCTTGCAGTAAGAAAAGTCCCCGCAAAGCAGGAGGAAGGCTGCATTATCGATTCTCTGCTGGCTGACATCCGGAAGGGCTTCGCTCTGAGGAAGACTGCACAGCCCAGGTGCGAAACAGAAAGCCTTCCCTCTAGTGAAACACACAGAGGTAAAACACAGCCTGGTAAGGACAAGACTATTACAATACCTGTCCCTGCTTCGCTGCAGAAATTAACTGGTTATGCCAGGTGTTGTATCGCCTTTGCAGCTCCGCTTTCAGCTGTGTTCCCGTTTCACCATTTCTACTCCTTTCAGTGTCACTCCTGCAGCTTGTCAGGATTTGGTCTTGCTGTGCTTCTGATTTTGCCTCTAATGTGTTTTTTTTTGTCATTTGTATGTAACATAGATATGATTGAGAAAAGTCTTTGTTTACTAAAGAGGAATTTTCAAGTAACCTGTAAGGTGCAGGATGATACCATAAGTTCTTCTACCACCACATGTCTACAAGATGGTAGATTCGTGTTGGAATACCATCTTTCTTTGTAGATTAAATATCATAATGAATTCATTTTGACAAGTGTAGCCACACTCTTTACTAATAGTTTTTTAGTAAACACTAAATTTAGTAACTTTTAAGTGATGCACCTGAAGGAAATTGCCCTCTTTGTATATTGGTTCTAAGCCAAATCTACAAATCAAATTTATGATAAAGGATTTATTAAAGGGCTGTCTAACAAACTACTGTTTACTGCAGAGTTGTTGCACAGATGTTAAAATTCAGCTTCTAGTTTATTTATTCTGCCAAATTTGTAAATTACTATTAGGTGATCCCTTTGTTTTTCAAAGACGGCCTTGGACAGCAATAAGACAAGTCATACTTTTGTTTAGTAAATGTACATCCTGTTTGGTATTTATACTTATTTTTACTACTGTCTTCCAGTTCAGTTTGTGTCCCAGTCACTGCTACTTCTGAGGCATTGATAACAGACTGAAATAATGATCTGCTTTCCAAAGGCATCACCTTGACATCTGCCGGGAAACCAGGAGGAACAGACCACACAGGCTACAGTTGCTGGGTTTACCCCCCTTCCGCCACCTATTTACAACTGTAAACTCCCAGCACATTTATAATGGGGAGATGTTGGGAAATATTGTTTAACACTGTATGTCAGTGGTTAGCTAAAGCAAAATCTTCCATCCAAGGAGGCTTCTACCCCAGCAGAAGTACCTGGTGTAAGCTGCAAGAGTTACAACCCCTTAATTTGACCCCGTCTCCTTTTCTCCAACAGACAAGTGTGCTATTTCTGCAGGTGAAGAAGGAGCCTCAGCATCCGCAGACCCCACGATGGACAGCAGTCAACTAAATGGGACCACGACACAACCCCTGGAAAAAGACGACACACTTTCTCCTTCTGCAACCGACCCCATAAAAGAGGCAGAACATGACGTTGGTAATCTACAGCCTGGCCTCCCTGCTGAGAACCCACCAGAGTTGAGAGATGATGTTTCAGAAGAGAAGAATGCAGCTACAGAGCTTCTTTCTTCTCCTCCTCCTCCTACCATCCCGGACAATGACCCGCCTGAACTGAACAATAATGGAAAAGGATATGAAGTGGAAACAATGACTTGTGCAGCTGACGAAGCGCAGGAGGACTGCGAGGCTGAAAAAAAGTTTGCAGCAAACTCTGACAGTGAAGTGACCATCCAGCACAGTGGAGGTCCGTTTCTGCCCAGCGACCAAGACTGTTGTGACCCTGCCTCACAAAATGCCGACAGGAGTAATGACACGCCATCGGCAGCATATGCAGATGATAACCGTCATGCCTTATCCCAGTGCTCTACTTCAAACTCAGCCACCAAAGAAAATGATGTGATTGATGGTCAGGATATTGTAAATGTATCCGAGGTGCCAATCACAGTGAATGATTCAGAAGGAAGTTCTTCCAAGTCAGCAGACTGCACAAAACCTGAATCTAAAAGGCTGCCTAAGCACTTCAGAAAGAATAGAAAGAGTGGAGAAGGTAATATATTTAATTTTTGTTGTTCAGCCTAATAAAGATATATGTATAATAGTATAAAATTACAATATTTGTCTTAGATTCAAAGGAAGATGTTTAAATGAGAAATGATTATGTATTTTTAAAACCTGTTTTGGGCACAATGGTGATTTGGCAGTTAGCAATGCTGCCTCACAGGTCCCAGGATCCTGGGTTCGATTCTGACCTTGGGTGTATCTGTGTGGAGTTTGCAGGCTACATCTTCACTCACATGGGTTTTGGACAATTGCTCTGGTTTTCTTCTTTGCCAAAAAGACATGCTTTCTGGTTTGGATTGGCTCCATTTATTGCTATAACTATGTTTGCTATATGGTCCCTATTTCTCTATTTTTCATTGATTCCCACTGTCAGTCCTGCTTTGTGCCCTATGCTTTCAGGACAGGCTATGGCTAAGACCCCAGTTGAGCTAAACGGCTTTCTGAAAGTGGGTTGAGAAAATATATAGCTTAGCAATTGATAAGACAGTGTGATTTTTTTTTTTTTAATCTAAGAATCTCTGTTTTTTTTTTCTTCCACACCCACACGTTTTGGATAATGGCCAGTTGTGTGTGTCACATCTTGGCTTATGCCTGCAAACCCTGCCATTTCATATGGGGGAGAGTGAGGAAGTGCAGACAGACTTCTTCGACACACACCTGCCTTTGAGCCGCTCGTCTTTGAACACGTCACAGGCTAGTCATCCCAGTTCTGGAGGAGGGGCGTGGGTCTTGCCCACTGTGCCACAAACCTGAAAGTCATTGCCAGCTAATCCCACTTCACCTGAGTGGTGCTCAGTGATACATACACTGTGACTCGGGGAACCCTGGTCACAGTTGCTGTTATGACCCAGGCTCAAGCACATGAAACCTGGAGCATAGACCTCAAACTGCTCTCAGGATGCAGGTCTCAATCTGCTCAGCACCTTTGCAGGTGGAACCACTCAGCAGCCCCAGTAGATTCTCTTTGTGGGCCCTGATTGGAACCGACGTCCTTTTTTGCTAGAAAAGAAAATTCCCACTAAGAATTTTAGTTTTTGTTCCAACTTTAAGGTTGGACTATGCTTAAACTATCTGCTATGTGGAAAATTCACATTTGTCTCAAAGTCAGTGCAGATATTTGAGATTTATATAGAAGTCTGTTACGTGGTATTCTGAAATTTTGAAAATAATATTTAAATTTTAATGTATACGTACTACAGTTTTTCTCCTAAATTAAAAAATGATTCTATGATTGAAAAATATTTTACAGAAAATTAGCTTTAACATTGGTATTTCCAAAAACCGGTAATGAATAAAATATTGTAAAGTTTACTTTTCCCCAATCTTTTTCACAATAAGAATACCTGCAATCTGAGGAACGCTATTTTTTTTTTAGATTTCTATGAAATGTTGAATCGACTCGCGCTCCCAAGAAATAGACTCGTTTTTCTTTTTTCATTGGGAACCTTCTGACCACAATTAATTCTTTTAAGATAAAAAAAGGCTAAACCACAGAAGATTAAACTTGATGACCCCGATCTGCTGTTTCATTCCTTTGTGATCTCCCCCCCCCCAGAAAGAAATGTTTTTGGTTCAGATGTACAAAAACTCCTAAAATAAATCCTGATTGTTTGTTTTGCTGATTTTTTTTTTGTACAGTTAAGGTCTATGTACTTTGTCACTACTTGCACAGCATTTAATACCATTTCCTAGTGACTTTTCACTGTAGTGGTGTGAGTATTTTGGGTTTAGTCCCTGAAAATTCTTTCATTTAGGTATTATATCCAAACCACAGAGTTCCAAGATTTTGTACAGCCATACAACAGACAAGTAGCCTGCTCTGTTCTGCAGTAAGTTTCTTACTGTTCTAGATAGAGACAAGTCCGCTCAGTGCACCACCAGAGCTTTATTCCATGTGACACACCTTTTAGAACTTGTACCTCTACATATAACACATCTACCTGCAGAAAGTTAGACTTGCTGCATTTCCAATCTATAGTGCTTTTTGTTGCGAAATAAAATAAAAATTGACCAGAAACTGTTGTGACAAAGAAACTTTAAAGACATGGGGAAAATACTCATTTTTAAAAATCAAGTATAAAATGCCAAAAAGCTTAGCAGTATTATTTATAATTGTTCACTCTGTTGGTTGTGTAAAACCATGTACATTGCTTCAGTTTCTCATTGTGTTTCAATTTTCTGAAAACAGCTGTTCACAATGGAAATGGACACAAAAATTCTAAAAAGGGTTGTGTGATGCAGTAAGGTAGGTGAAATAGATGTGTGTTAAACTAACAGCCTCTCAAGGGCATATGCTTGTGATTTACAGCTCTGCTAACTAACAAATCCACATTTCTTTAACCAGGTCCTTGCTGAATTTTGTTTTAACTGATTTTCCTTCTCATTTTGGAGTTTTGGATATGCCTTCTTTCATCTCTTGTCCAGTAACATCGTGAATCCATCCTGGTCATTCTAAATTATTGGGATCACTAGGGAGAGGGCACAGTTAATCTCTATAGCTTGAGGGGGAAAGTATGGGACCAAGAAACATTCAAAGACATTAAGCAACTCCAGCAATGTGCACTGAGCTGGGTAACAAGTCTAGAGTACATGGTAAGCATCCACTTGCAAGGAGGAAGTGAGGTTGTGTCTTAACCTAGGATTAGCTAAACAATATAAATCTCACTTTCTTGTTTAGTGCAAGAAGGTTATTCTGGTTTTCTTTTCCATAAAATAAATACATTTAATTTAAGTGGAAGTACATTTCATTATTTCTTAGTTGTTATACAAGATCAGGCTCTGTAAATCAATTTAGAATTAGTCTCATCATCTTGCATTGTAATTATACAATATGAAACTTTGCTTTAAGTCTGAGTGCAGATCACTTTTCATTATGCCATTGAAACGAACAGTTGAACAGCTCTTTGGTAGTATTATGTCCATTGTAAATAAAAATTACACCTTTTCATAAAAACTAACACATTTCTTTCCTGTGGTTGAGGGAGAACTCCAACTACAGTTCCTTATGTCGTTTTCCCCTGCAGTAACTCAATACATTCTTACAAAGGGGAATAAGAATGTTTTTGCAAGTATGAAGTCACTTAACTCCTACTAAACAGAAAAAAATGTAATTCTTATACTGTTTTGTTTTCTGCCAAAGTGAAAATTGGAACTTGTTCACGAAGACGTCTTTTCTATGCGGGAGGGATGAGGCTGATACATTTTCCTTTGGAGGGCCTTTTTTGCACTATGTTTGCTATTTCCAGAGAGAGAGCACAGATTACAACAATACGGATGCACACAGAAGGGCAAGTGGATACTGGCTCCCTTTAGTGTCACCTGATCTTTCCCCACCAATGATGGCCTGGGCATCTCCAACTGTCGGAAATCTGGCAGAAACATGTGGTCTGTAAACCACCAGAGACTGGTCTCCCCCATTCTGAAACACAGAAGGGAACAGTTCCTGGATACCTTTCTAATTTCTCCCCACCAAGGGGTCTCCCTTACTGCCACTAATACCAAAACCCAGACTTGACCTGGTCTTTCCTGGACTATGGGGCTCAGCCTGTACTACAAGAGAACACCTTTATTGGTCATGTCCAATGACTATAGTACTTTTGCTCCTGTCATCTGTCTTTTATTTCTTTCACAGATGTCATAAATGATCCAGTGGGATGGTCCCCCAATTAAATCAATTCAAAATGCAGTTGGCTGCTCATGGTCAGGGATTATAGATTTAAGTCTAGGTCTAGGATACATCTTTTGGGGACTGACTGAGCTTCTCCAGCCCCTGAGTGTTAATGAGAGTGGGAGGTAGTGTGGTCAGCTTTGATAGTATGAACTTCCAACACACAACTGACCCATGTGGAGTACCACGTGTTGTTGCAGTGCTGTTGGCAAGAGCTGCATCAGTTTTTGTTGTGCCTCTTTTCTGCTGGTCTTCACAGTTTGAAGAAGGCCTGACCTTGTATGGTTTTCTTCATCTTTTCCATACTGGTGCAAGTTTTATAGCAGTGAACTGAGCTGATGGAAAAACCCAAGATTCCTTCTGTGGAGGGGAAGAAAATTAGGGTTGACATTGGAAGCAATTCCAATTATGTGTTTTAGAAATAAAATACTATAAGCTTTTCTCACCAAGTCCCTCTTTGTTTTTTAAAAAAGCTATCGTACATGTCCATGACCAGGTCCTTACAAATAGTTAAGCATCTTGTTTAGAATTTTATTATTAGTTTATTAGCAAAACAGAGCTTCATCCATTATTGCAAAATTGAATAAAGCCCTAGATTAAAAGTGGTTTCCAGTAAGTTACATGAGATGCCTTTTTGATTTAAGTCCAGGTCTCAAAGATTGCTATTTATATCTAATTCATTGATTTATACCAATGGGTGGCTGGAGCAGTGGAAAACCAATTTTCAGTTTAGCTCTGCTTGCCAGCAGGTATAGGAAGATCTGTCAGTTTCTCAAAGGAAGCTGTGCATTCTCCTGATGTAATTATGCCAACACATGATAATGTTCTTTTTAAATTAAAGAAGAATTAAAAAAAAAACAGGATCAAGCTTCATTTCTGCTTTTGCATTAACAAATATGACATTTCTGTTCAGTTTTAAAAAAACATTATCTCAATGCGGAGAAATAAAAAAGAATTATCTAAAATTTTAGTCAGTTTTCAGTAAAACTGCTGCTGCAGAGACTATTAAGCACCATACAGCAAATACCTTAATCTTTAGCTTATAAAAGACAATTGCCCAGCATTTTCTGTGAATGAACAGACTAAAATCACTTTTATTATTCTGAACTTAATCAGTGGTTAATTCACAGAATGTTTGGTCTTTCCCCTTTGTCAGATTAGCATCCATCTTCAACTAAATAAAATGCCAGAGGTGCTCCATAAACTGATGATCCATAAACTGGTCATGTACTGCAGCTATGCCCTTCAGAAAAATATTTGTATCTGTTTCACTTACTGTTTTTGCACCAGAATCCATTATGTCTTATCATAAAATCACATGGCATAATGTATAAATATGTGTACAAATATGTCACATAATGGACATTATTTAAAGGACTTCTTGCAAATTCATCCTGAGTTAATCTTCAATATTTTCACTCTTCGTATCCCTTCCAATCACTAATTTCACTGCACTTAATGATTTCATTTTCAATTAAAAGTGTTGATATCTTCAAGTAAAAATAAAACTAATTTGGTAGTTGCATTCTGATTAAACAATGAATCAAGACTGCTGCTAGGGTGAAGATGGGTAGAGAGAGAGGTGCTGACAAAGATACATGCATAGAGGAGTCAGTAAGTGAGTAGTACGATATGACAGTTTTGGCTCCCAAACTTCTTAATGACACCATTTTGAACCAGAATTTCACATCTATATTAAACAAAATGGAACAGTAAAATTCATTGAGGGGGGAAGACAATGGATAAAGGTTGTACACAAGAAGAAGAAGCTTTTAGGCTGATGTATTGAAGAAGATGGATGTAGAAATGTTCTGCTGGTATATTGTGAATTGGTTGTTAGCAGTTCATGGTCAAGATGAGTGATACAGTGCACATACTTTTTTACTGTAGCTCTTTGGCCACAGTGATATTATATCCAAGATGATCACTACATGCGATTTATGAAAACTATAAATCAATTACATGCTCAATTTCATAATGAAAGATATGATATATTTTGAATTTTTAAAATAATTCAACCCACAGACCTGAACTGGGTGAAGTGATCAGAAAATAGATGGATGGGAAACCAAAAGTAATTTAAGATGGACTAGTATACAGATTTCTTTCATCTTTCATGTTCTGTAATGGTAGATGTTATTCCATTTAACCCACTTAAGCCTTTTCATCAGTCTTATTTGTCAAACAGCTGCTGTGTTTTTTGTCACAAAAGCAATATGTCTGATTTCACGCAATGTCATCTTTTAAATGAGAACTTTATAAAACATAAGCAGTAGGTCTTCTATTTACATTTGCCTTAATTTGTGCCTAATGGTTACCTAAATGTTTGATCAAAATTATGTTTCAAAAGACGGACTTTTCCTTTATGGTAAACTCCCTTATATGTCCTGATAACAATTAGATTGAGTCTCAAGATAACTTTAGAATTTGAATCTTGTTTTAGGCATCCTGTTACTGTAAGTGTTAACCATATAATTGTTAAAAATACTGAAGCACAACAATTTAAAATAGGTTTACCTTTTATTAAAGAACATTTTCTTGAAATAAAAATCTCATTAAATTTCTCATTTAAATTTCTAATTCCAGTTTCTCCTTTGTGTTTTGCAGGTTTGTCCAAAAAGAAGAAGACAAAAGTCAAACAGAAATCTTGAGATTTTAAGTGGAGATCTCCTCACAAGCCTTGAAAAGTATTATCACAGAACTCTGCAAACTCCTGTGGGAGTAGCAGTTCTTGTCAACTGTGTTTATGGAACAAATCAATTGTTTGAAATGCAGTTGAATTCAGCAGAACGAAGACTGGGATTTGTTTTACGCTCCAAGGCTCCAGTTAATTCCCCTGTTCACACTTTTGAGGGAAAAAATTATCCTTCTTTAAGAATTGAAGATCTTCAGAAGTCAAGCACATGAATAGCCCACAACGTGCAGCACTGGCAAAGATACAAGTTCATTATGGACAACATCAGAAAATCAATTGTGGCTGATCCGACCAATTGTACGACACGGTTACAGAAACCTGCAAGAATGAATTCCTAATTCTTCTTCCATGGAGAACTTTGTAAATACGTTTTGCATATTTGGGAGACAAAAAATTGAATATTTTCAAACATGTAATCCATACTTTTCCACGTTGTCAACAAATGTATAGCAAGTGTTTCCAAGTTGCTCCGTTTTCTCTGTCACAGAAGCATAACAACACAAAACTAAGTGGCCCATATCGGACTTCACAGGTTTCGTTCACATTTGACAATACAGTGTTGCCACTGTTAGGCCATTAATGGTCTAAAGCCATGAGCATTATTTCAAATTGAATGTGAATAAAGATTAATCAATGAAAAAAAAATCATATGTCTCTACTGAGCTATAGAGAAAGTTTTAGTGAACATTTGAATGTAATTACAGCAAGGAAGATCTTTGTGATCAGCAGGCATATTTTTTATTTTCCCATATATTTCTTGTGGGTTGCAAGGTGTCATGGCACATTGGGGCCTGTGTCGTGATTGCAGACTGGAGCACTGTCTGTTAGGAGTTCGCGTGTTCTGCCCCTGTTTGTGTGCATTTAGTCTGGGTACTTAAGTTTCTTCCTGCCTCCCAAAGACATGCTGGCTAGATTATGTCTTTCAACTGTTCTCTGTGCATGTTTTTCCTTCCAGGATGTAGTCTTGACTTGTGTTCCCAGGATAGACAGTGGGTTGCAGCAGACCTGAATAGGAACAAGCAGCTTCCATGAATAGATATATTCCTTGCATATACTTAGTAATGGTCACCAGTATTAACTTTTCAGTGCTAGATGGGTTATTTATTAGTTTTATTTTTATTGAAACAAATAATGTACACATAAATATATTTGATATACTGTATGTGGTGAAAAAACGATGTAATCATTCAGAGGTTCTTCAGAGAAAGAACTTTTGTAAAATAAGAAATAATTTATGATTTCCATTTGTCGCATTCAAGAGACCAAGCTGACTGCATACAGAAACATTTTTTGTGGGTTGTAAAAACACATTATTGTAGTGCTGTATAAACATCAAGAGATTACTTTTATCAAAAAAGGGAAACAAATAGGTGCAATCCTGGAGTAATCCTTGAGGGTTTTAAAGATGATCCATAGTATGAGTCTTGATGCATCTTAAAGGTTTCTGAAACACATTTTATAACAAAAATGAAAATAATAAGATCTACCTACAGTATGAATGAGGAAAGCTCACAAGGCAGTAGATGTACAGGAAAATGAGGGTTAAGCTCCTTCATTAAATTTTCTGTATGTTCTTAAGGGCTGGAAGGTGATACCTACTGTACCAAAACATGAATATTAACTTGCACATCTTAACACTTGCCAAAAGTCATAGGCATTTACTGTAGGTAAGTCCCCCTTAGCTGTGTATCTTGGTCACAACTGTGGATTAAAAAGGGGTATGAACATGTGTACTTGTACAGTAAATCCACTTTCCAAAAAAACTCCAATGATTTGTTATAATACAGAAGGGCAAGAGATGACTGTTTCCAAACTGAGAACAAAGCATGGTTTTAAAATTGTGTTTTAGTGACAACCTGGAAGTTGCGCAGGCTTGCTCCTTTAATTCAGCTGTTACTGAGGTAAAGAGAAAAGGCAGTGTGTGCCTTAGTTTTCTGTTGTACATGTACTGTATGTACAGCAGTACAGTATGTATGTTATACATATCCTTCCTGCTGGCTGTTCCTGCTTGGATTTCTAATTGTTGTGCTCAGTGAAAAGGCTTACCAAAGCCATACACAGTCATGTCATAAGAAAGAGTCAGATGTGATTAAGCACATACATCTTAATCAACAGGCTCAAATACACTGCACATTGCTAATTTCCTTCTCCTCTATACCAATAAGGTATAGCAGTAAGGTTTCATGCTACTTTTTCTTTACTAGAGTCTAGCACGGCAAATAATACTTTAAGTAGAAACATGAATAAACATTTTTTTTAGAAATCAATCAGAAATAATGCATCATATATAAAGTACTCCTTTAAACCTTTTCTTCTGTACAGGTCAGATTGCTATGTAAAATTTACTTTTATTAATGTATTTTTGCAGTATGTTCTTTGAGCTGATTAGCGTACTGTGTCATTGCATTTTTACTTATTGAAGTTGTCAACATGATCTGAAACGAGTCATAATGCCTTAATGTTCTAAATAAATTTATGAAAGCTGTTTTAACTGATCTGTTCTTATGAACCGCGATATAAATGATATCAAACCTTCATGTAACTGTTCATTTTTTGTTTCAGAGAACTTTCATAATGTAATCAGATCACAGTAGTGGTTGTATTTCTGTGGATCGGGGAGTTTAATTTACATATACTTCTGTCTCTACTGGAACTGTTTGGTGTGTTACTACCAGTATTTGATTGAGTACTGTGTTTTGTTAGCCTCTGGTATGGCGAAGCCTCAGCTTTATTCACTAGCGTACCTTAGCGTGTACAGGATATGTGTACTGAATGCGTAGATGATTGATGAATGGCTACTTAAACGTATTCATCACTAACAAAACGTCTATATAAAACTTAGCTCTTAGTCGAGCTTTTTATTGGAGATATTTTATTAAAATTAAATGTTTTGGTGAAATGAACTGATAAATAGAAGCTGGCGAATAAGAAGCCAACTTCAGCCTCGTTATTTGAGATGCATTTGGAATATGTTAGCAGTAATAAACATGCAAATTACTTCTAGTTAACTCAGTTTGCATAGACTTTATTCTACATCCTAGTGCTAAGCAGCTTCAATACCTATGATTTTTAAAAATGCATAGTACTGTAAAATATTTCCCTACAGTAAAATCGCTATTAACGAATTAAATTACACACATTTTAATTGTAAAAAAAATATTTTCACAGTCCTTTCAAGCTTTGATTATTCTAGTATAATCGCCAATTTGCAATTATCCTAAAAGAGATTAAATATTCAAGATGAAAACATCCGAATTTTAAAAGGACATTTGCCTTACATATAAAAAAATACAAACATGCGGATTACCAAAGTCTAAGCATAATACAATACAAAGCCAGAAGGATAACAAAATAAAGAATGCGCTATCATTCAAGAAGTTTCATTGTTGCCAGTAAACTCTCATCTTTTTGATAGAATTCCTCTGCGCTCTACTGTACACTGTGTATAACCTCCTCCGCCGCTCTCAAGTCATGTGAAGTTGTTTATGTGCTGACATCATGGTGACCCGTATTTGGTTACTGTAGGCTCTGGAGTTCAGATTCAGGGAGATTTTTTTTTTTATTTTAGACGGGCTGCAGTTGCAACTGCGCTGGTGTAAACATGTCGGGCGGCTGGACAGCAAACGATCACAAGAGTTACACGAACCCTCCGAGTTCGGGGGTAAAGCGACCTCGAAGCGACGTGGGGAACAGGGTAACAGTCGTATTGGGGGCTCAGTGGGGAGACGAAGGCAAAGGAAAAGTGGTCGATTTGCTAGCGACAGAGTCTGACATCATTTGCAGATGCCAGGTAAAGACAGAATTAATCGTGAAAGTTGTTTAAATTAAGGTATTTGGCTTATGGTGTGTTTATTTATCATCATAGGTTTGTATCATAGTTGACAAGGAGCAGGAGAAACATTTATCTTGCGTGTTTTAACGAAGTTTAATTTTTACCTTAGTTTCATTCAGATGGCTCGAATATTTGTTGGTCTATGTCCCTGTTCCATTACAAAGATAGTGTAAACGAAAGGGATTTAGGTTTGAAGGACATAATGGAGTGAAAATTGTTCCGTGTCAGTGGCGGCAACACTCATATTTACATCATTATTGCACTTTAAATAAATTGCGTTATTGCCGATATCAACCCTGATAATCTGAAGTTGATATCAGAAACCTTACTATGATGACATTTAAAAACTTAACAGTTCACTTAAACGATATTAATCGAAATATAACACATGCTCGTCTTACAACTAAACAAGAGCACACATAGACCATTGCATGTAATTTAGATTTGCAGACTGTGAAACAGACGCACTGTGCTGTTAATCAAGTTGCGTGGTATGCTACTTCAAAGTTTCCTGACGGTTATTAATACAGACAAATGATCATCCGATGTAACCGGAGTAATATTATTCTCGGCACAAGATTGGAAGCTCTGTTAAATGAATGTAAGGATAGCTAGGAGGCTCCATTACAGTCTAGGCTGCTGGTGTGTGCTGAACATCGTGTCTTAAGCTTGGACGCTAAAGGTCTTGGGGCCATCAGTGGCAGCTAGTACCCTCACTGAGAAATGTCAGGGCAAGTTGAGAGGATGCCAAGTCAGCAGCATAGGATGCATGGTAGTATCTTGTCTATAATAACTCAGTTGTGGGTGTGTTTGGAGACTGATATAATGCAGAACCTGGTTTTATTTTGTCATTAACCAAATTGTTCTCTGGACGTTTTCAAGCTGCTGAAGGTGGGCTGTTCTCTCTCAATATCTTACCACAGCGGAATGCCTCTAATTAAAGAACTGCATACACAACAGGTGTTTCAACACAACTGCGATGAAGGTCACCTACTTACAACATCCAGCCCATGCAGGGACCCATTTATAGACCTCAGAAGGGGGTTGGTGAAACTTAACATGGTCACTTTGTCCCAGTGTTTCTGCGTGTAACTGCTGGCCTGGAGGCATGACCATTACAGTATGTTAAGAAGCAATGAAAGAGATTTTTTTAAATAATAAGGTTAAATTGCACACTATGATGATTTTATTAAATAAATCATAGGGTTAAATTGGACTGAATGAAGCTAACCCTATTTTGGCTTTCATTGTTATTTGGGGAGTTATGGATTTCATGCACTCATCATGGCATGACATGCGCACACACACATGCAGACACGCATACAGGGCGAATGGAGAGTCTCCAGTTCACCTAGCCAGCATGTCTTTGGAGGGCGAAGGACATTTTCACCAGAGGACCTGATGAAAACCCCTCCAGGTTATCATTCAACTGAATTCTCCATGGATTGATGAAAACAATTGGTTTGATTTATCCAACTCATGCTGCTCAGCCTTCCCCCAGCATCATTCAATTATTAAAGTTTTCTTTCACTTTTTCATCAATAATGATCATATTAGCCAACATTTGGTTGAACTTTTATATTTACAGAAGAACTGCGACACTCCACTCTTTATGAGCTGCAGCTGATCACACATCACACCATCAGCTTACACAGTCTCTCCACCTTTTTACAGTAGGATACTCTCCATGGTATTTCTACCAGTGTGCTAGCACCAGGGCTTTAGCTGCTGACATTGCCAGTGATGAAACTTTCCTTTCAGATTTAAAAGGATTAATCCCATTTCATCTCTGACATTGACCGCAGAAGTGTTAGTACGTTTTCATTGCACTATGCTGATATATTACTAACAGACTTCTGGCTTCTGGGTTCTCAAAGTCTTTTTAATTTTTTTGTGTTGTTTTAATAAAATTTAACATGCTACAATGGCAGCACAAAATCAGTACAATCTCGTCCACCAACTGAAGTTGCCATCTCTCCAAATGTTTTGTGGCTTGCAGTGAATTCTTTGGTATATACATTGTCCAGTTTTTTCCTAAGATATTCTTTATCCATGATATTCTTCATCTCACTTGCAACTTTGTGATTCACAGTGGAAAGAATGGAGATTAGGATGAGGAGAGGAAACCATGTTTGCAAAGTGTGAGACAAGATGAATCAGGCACATGTGCACTGATGGCTCTTCAGTGGGCTTGGCAAGGAAATGTCAGTGTAGCACAAATGTATGATTTAGAAGGTAGACTTAGAGTCTGTTTGCTAAGTGTGGTGGAGAGGCCACCAATATCTTGCTCTAAAGATGAGGAGGATGTCTAAAGCGACACAATCCCTATTGTAAATGCAAGGTTTTTGGCTGGGAGAGCAACTGATATTTCAAGAAGAAAAGTACAAAAGAGCCATCAAGTGGTTTATCTAAAAAAGGAAGCCCAGAGGTCTATAGTTCTGGTCTGGGAAATGTTATTAGTCACATCTGACTGAAATTCTGTGATTAAGGTAGTAAAAATGAAATGTATGATTCTCTCATTTTTAAAAAAGGTGTTGTTCCAGCTTCTTAGTATATAGTAGCATATCACCCTGCAACTCACAACTGGCAACCCACTGAAGCTAAGCAGCTGTGAGTTTGGTCAGTATCTGGATGGGAGATCTCCTGGGGAAAAACTAAGGTTGCTGGTGGAAGAGGTGATAGTGGGGCCAGCAGGGGGTGCTCATCCTGTGGTCCACGTGGGTCCTAATGCCCCAGTATAGTGACGGGGACACTATATTGTAAACAGGTGCCGTCCTTTGGATGAGATGAGGTCCTGACTCTCTGTGGTCATTAAAAATCCCAGGGTGTTTCTCAAAAACAGTAGGGGTGTAACCCCAGCATCCTGGCCAAATTTCCCATTACCAATCATGGCCTCCTAATAATCCCCCTCTATGAATTGGCTACATTACTCTGCTCTCCCCCTCACTGAAAGCTGATGTGTGGTGAGCGTTCTGGCGCACTATGGCTGCCGTCACATCATCCAGGTGGATGCTGCACATTGGTGGTGGTGGAGGGGAGACCCCATTACCTGTAAAAGCGCTTTGAGTGGAGTGTCCAGAAAAGTGCTATATAAGTGTAGTCAATTATTATTATTATAAACCTTAGCGTGTGAAGAAACCACTACTCAGCTGCCTAGTTAATTATTATGTGTTTTATCTTGTTCAGGATCTGAGAGCATTTCACAGTTCTGTTCTGTGAAAATAGCTATGCAGGTAGATGATGAAACAAGGAATAGCATCTGAGATGTCTTTGATTTGTGAAACGTGTTACATAAGGGGGACCCAACTTGAATTCAGTTGCCATGGCAATCTCAATGCCATTTGACAGCCCTGAGGGGATAAACTGAGGTCACGTTCTTAAAGAAATATGAAATGTGAGAAGGGCAGACAGAACGCTCCCAGACTCTGGCAGCAAGCTAAAGCCAGAGCAGTGATGCTGTCCTGCCACAGCCTCTTGAGCTAAAATAGATCCTTCTGTAGAGGAAACTAGGGCACACTTGACTCCTAGGCAAACCTCTGGTATGCAGGGTGAACAGGCAGTACAGGGATTCAGAAATAGATATCAACTTGTTTACTCTGGAAAATAAAACCAGAAACCTACAGAGAAACAAGTTACATGCAGAAAATGAAGTATTATAACACCATGTTTGTTGGAAAAAGACTGTGGGTATTTGATGGTCATGAGTTGAAAGATACAGTACCTTGCAAAAATATTCAGGCCCTTCCTGTGGTGCCCCATTTTGTGAAGTTACACCATGATTCATACACCTTTTATAAACTTAATATTTTGTTCAAGACGTGAACTGAAGAATTCTAGTGATAAGGTAACTTACAGTAAATGGCAGCAAAAATTAAAAAATGAACCCTGAAATATGTTGATCCCATAAGTATTTTACTATAAGAACTCAATATTTGGTGGACGTTGGCCGCAATTACAGCCACAAGTCTTATTCTGTGAGTCTCTACCAACTTTACACTCCTGCTTAGTCCAATTTTTGCCCATTCCTATTGGCTGATTTGCTGAAAAGCCAAGCTACTTGGGAAACATTTCTTGACTGTGAAAAGCACTTTTCAAGTCTTTCAACAGATTTGCAATTAGCTTCAATTCAGGACTCTGAGTGGACAACTCAAGGACATTCACTTTTTTATTCTTGAGCTTCTTCGGTGTAGCTCTGGCCTTGTACTTTGGATCACTGTAATTCTAAAAGGTGAATTTTGTCCCAGTTTTAGGACTCAAGTAAGGTTTCCTCTAAGTCTGGCCAATACTTTGCTCAATCTGTGTTCCCATCACTCTTGACAACCTTCCCTTTCCCTGCTGATGAGAAGAACTACAACATAATGCTTCCAGTGCCATGCTTGACAGTAGGGATGGTGTTGACTGAGTGATGCACTGTGTTGGGTTGTGTCAGATGGAAGGCTTTGCACTTACTGTACACCAGGTAGTTTCAGTATTGTCTTGTCTAAACACAGAGTCCGTTTGCCATGGTTGCAGTATCACCTTGGTGCTTTGCATTCTGCCATATACTGTAGATCAGCTTTGTAGAATGACTGGCATATTTTCTCCCATCTCAGTCATTGAACTCAGTAACACTTTCAAAGTCACTGTTGGCTTTACAGTTGCATCCCTGACCAGTTTCCTCCTTGTTTGGCTGCTGGTTTGGAGGGGCAGCCTGATCTAGGCAGTGTCCGAGTGCCTTTCACTTCTTAATGATTTACCATACTATGCTTAAATTGATATTAAGGGTCTGTTAAATGTTTTTGTACACTTCTCCTGATCTATGCTTTTCAATGGCTATACCATGCATTGAAAGCCTTAGTCGTAATGGTTTTGTCTTTGCTTGAACCTCAGATGTTTTTATTTTGAAATAATGACAGCCACTTTTATTGCACACAGATAGAGACCAAACAAATAGTTATGTGTAAGGGAATTTTGTGCACCTACATTATTTTAGGTATTGCCATAGGAAAGGATTTCAACAGTAACTCAATCATGCAATCAAGATGTTCCCATTTTTCTTTGATATTAATTATTTACTTCTTTCTTTCTGTTTTTTGCTTTGTATTTGTGGAATATATTGTGCATTTAACAAATATTAACTGCTACATTTGAGTGTCATGACAACAAGAGACTTTAATGCAACCAAATGTGAAAAATTGTACAAGAGTCTGAAAACTGTAAGCTGTTATCTACCTGCTTTTGACATTCAAGATTCAAAGCAAATAAACAACAAGCTAACAATGGAACAAGGGATGCAGACTCCCTGTGCCCATATGCACAATGTACATTGAAGAATTGTATCCCGAGCCAAAGATTCTGGTTGGAAGTCTACAAGCACAACAAGTGGAAAAAATAATGGACAACGTCCCATACACCATAGATTTCATATTCTGAAAGTGGATGATGTAAAACACACATGGTCCCTTCAGGTGTCTCTGCATTTTGTTCTATGATACCAGTCATAACAAGGTTTATATGCCAGGCACAGTCTCCACCAATTCTGCTGAGCTTTCTTGACTCCAGGCTGCCATGCCTGGCAAAACAAGAGTTCCCTAGCTGATTCTGCCACATTGAAACCTGACTTTAATGAGTCATCTTTGTTCTGATGCTGGGATTTTGGTGTACTCTGAATTTAAACCTATGAACTCCACACTATGGCATTCTTACAACTTTTTCTTTTGCTTTTTTTAACAGCTGAGCAACTCAAGATCTTTGAGAATATGATGAAAATTAAACCTACTTTCTTTTTATGTATGTGTTAAAGCAACATCATTATTGTGAAATGAACTTAATTATCTTGAATTTTGTTTGCCTTTGGGACAGGTGTGGCTGGATCTGCTAATAATATAGCATTGAATTTTCTGAAACATATTACACCATCTTTTATCGTTGCCAAATCTTTCATTAGTTGACAAGTTAGTGCCATGTTACTGTACATGTCTACATGTAGAGATAATGACAAACATCTTTAATGTGCTTAATAAGAACAATGCTTGAAGATTGAAGGTCTTGAAGGTCTGAATCAAAGTTTGTTCTGAGATGTCCTTTGCTGTGGTTGTCAACACCTAGTAAGGGAAAGGCAAAGGGGAACTATATATTTCTTTAATTGCTTTTAATCCCCATTGGTGATGAATGAATATACTATTTATAATCAGTATTGTGTGACCAGTGCTAAATCACAAAGTTGTCTAATCCATGTAGGAAATGTTGATTTGTTAAGGCTGACTAGGTAACAGACTAAATCTGTTAACAGTCAGCATCATATAGAGTGTCTGTGACAGATAGTTCCATCCATCCATTTTCTAACTGATTCAGGACAGACAGTTGTCATTTTGAAATGTCCAGTCCTAGCTGTTTATCAACTGCTGTTAAATGGAGTTTAAGTATGAGAGTGATGAAAACAGCCAAATGAACTTCTGCTATCATTATTTGTTATCACCCATGATGTCATTTCCTCACCTAAAACATTATAAATACTATAAGTAATCCCCTTCTCTCCCTCTCATACTTATTTTTGCATCTCACCACCAAACATCTCCACCTTTGACGCTACCATTTGGTCACCCCTCACTATACAGGGGGTCGTGGCCTCGTTGTCCTATAGCCAATTGGGTGAAGTAAAATTTTGTTGTGAATTAAACACTAAATATACCTTTCACTATGGTTAATTCTTGGATGTTGTTATGTCTAGTTAATACCCGATTAAAATATAATAATTATATTTAGTCATACTAGAAAAGTTTGCTTTGGCCCAAGATAATACTCTTAACAAAGCCCCCTTACAGAGTTAATCAGTTTGACACTGAGTACAGCACCAGCAGTGATGAAAGTCTTAGACAGGGTGTATGTACCATCATCTGAGCCATTGTGAGGAGATCTGGCTTGCAGAGAAGCATTCTCCCAGACATCTCTGAAGGCAAAATAACAAGTCCGGGAGTTCAGCAAGCCTACATAAGGGAATAAAAAAGACAAAAAGTGTGTCAGAGGAGCATCTTATCTAGGCTGCAGCTACAAGCAAATGTTACTGAAATGCCACTGTCAACATTTGCAGTTGAGTAGTAGCTTTGTATGCCTTTAAGAACCATGAAGAAACAACAGCAATAACCATCCACAGTGTAATACTATCTGCTGTCTTGAGGTTTTAAAGGTCCAGTATAGGGGATGTTAGGAAGAAAAAACAACATTAAGCCTAAGTTAAACTCAATCCATTATTAAGGTAAGTGTTTGTTTCTGTAAGTCAAACTACAACTGTTAGTCCCACTGCCGGGAGTAAATAGGAGGATGTTGTTTAACCTTTTTTGGGTAAATAAGTATGTAACTCACGTAAGTTTGAAATTTTTGCTGACTACAGGGAGGAAACAATGCAGGACACACTGTGGTTGTGGATGGAAAAGAATACGATTTTCATCTCCTTCCAAGTGGAATTATCAACACCAAAGCCATATCCTTCATCGGTGGGTTTCATTCCTAATGGTAACTGCCTGAAGATGGATACTTTGGTTCTGAGTCATTTACTTGCTCACTTTCTTAATGTAGTATCTAATTTTTCTCTGCAGGAAATGGGGTTGTGATCCATTTACCTGGCCTTTTTGAAGAGGGTGATAAAAATGAGAAGAAAGGTACTGTAGGGGTACTTTTATTTCTGATGTTTTTGTTGGAAATATGGAAATAAGGCAGAGGGGAAACTAAACTACCTTTGTTCCACAAGCGCTCTGAATTTACATAATCTTATACTCTGCAACATGTATCGACTACATGCTAATCATTTCATTGTACATTATTGTATCGTTTGAAATCAATAGCCGTAAAACAATGACAGAACTTGTTTTCCTTTGTTCTTGCAATTTGCACATCACTCAGGCAATAACTGGAAGACAGACATAGGCCTCTGTCAGTGTTCTTCCATTTTGTCTCTTGTTTGAAATATTCATACCTTCCTTGTTGGCTAACTACCTGTCTTTCTCACATCCCTTTTCTACTCCACAGGGCTCAGGGACTGGGAAAAGAGATTGATCATTTCTGACCGAGCCCATATTGGTATGTAATGATCCTAGACTTAAACATGGGTAAACTCCATTTTTATACAGAGGGAAAAAGAAGAGGAGGCTATACACACAGCATTAAATCGGGGCTGGTGGGGCCCAAGTTAAATGGTCTGTCTTTATTCTACATAATGTATTACTGGGCAATGATAAATAAGCAGTGTGAACAAAGCTAACCAAAGGCACTTTTGAAAATAGTATATTCTGTATATATAAATGGTTATGTTGTAAGTTTAATGTGGATATATGCTCAGTTTGACCAAATGATGAAATTATTTGTAATTGTACTTTTCTTTTCCCCTTGTTGACAGTGTTTGATTTTCACCAGGCGGTAGATGGACTTCAGGAAGTCCAGCGACAAGAGCAAGAAGGGAAAAAGTAATAATTTTCCAACAACCGCACCATCAATTTTAATAAGACTAGGCTGACAAATCAGATTTCTTTAGGAGTTGAGATGTGTGATTTACACATCCACCAAACACGTGGTTCGTTTTCATTCCATGTCATTGAAGAGATGTTTGAACATGCTGCACATATTTAATTAAAAAAGCAGCTGTCAGTGTTGGGCTTCAATGTAAGAAATGAGAGGAAGCCATTCGGTCCAAGTTGCTCATTTGCTTGCTGATTGACACATTAATCCAATAATTCCACCCAGATATCCCTGAAGGTATCTGCGTCAATAGGTTACATCCCACAACTCCTTATTTAAATAACTGCTTCATGATTTTAGTGCTAAATGCAACTCATGGTAACACTTGTCTCTTTTCGGGTCATTGTTTACATGTGGCTACTGATTTTGTCAAAATACTTTCAGGATTTGAAAAACAGTACTTCTATCATGTTCACCCAGATTCATGACTAAATGTTTCTTGGAAAGTTTATTTTCCATTAATCTGTTAGGAATTGTGCTCATTCAAACTTTTCAGAGAGCAATACTGTCTATTTTTTGTAACATTTTTTCCATTTCAATTTTTTTTTCTTTTTCTTAGATAGAATTTCACAAAGAGAAAAAAAACGTCTGTAACTCTGTCCAAGCCTTTGGCAAGTTATTTTGACATTTGCTTTCGCTGGATAATTGAAACTGCTGCTGTCCTTTGCTTCAACAGCATTGGAACTACAAAGAAAGGAATTGGACCTACTTATTCCACCAAAGCAGCACGGACAGGCCTGCGGGTGTGTGACTTGTTAGCCGACTTCAAGGAGTTCTCTGCTAGGTAAAAACCTATTCAGTCAGGCTGTCTGTTAAAACATTTTTAAATGAGAACAAAACACTGTTATAGTTATTAGTATTTATTTGTGGCACCCTAAGATAATATCATTTGTTTTTTGTTTTTTGTTATCTTTTCAGATTTAGAAATCTAGTCCAACAATACCAGTCCATGTTTCCTTCTTTGGAAGTAGACATTGATGGTCAGCTGAAAAAGCTAAAGGTATGAAACCTTTAAAAAAAGTATTCTGACAAGCACTGTCTCTCTTGTTATCGTTTTTACACTAGGCAGGCAAATGTTTTTCTTTAGCCCCCTTTATAAAAAGGTAGAGGAAGAACAAGACACTTCAGACAAAGTATTGAAAATGTTCATCTAGATTTCTAGATTACAAAAAGTATTACAAAAGTATCTATTTTTGTAATACTATTCTAGATTACAAAAGTATCTATTCCTACATTGTTTTGCAAAACAAATAATTAAGAGCAGTGTTGTGAATGAAACAAATCAATGTTTAAATAATCCTTATTATATAGTCTTGTATATGTAATCTTGTAAGAGCTTGCACTCAGGTCTGTATTAAGTCTGGAACACTTTTCTAGAAACAGATAAAAACTGAAACATAAACCATCTTATTTTCTGTTTCTGAGTGCAAAACACAACGTCTGAATGAAATACTTATATAATGCTGCTTTGCAAGTAGATATTCAATTAGAATTACTTTTATTCGCCAAGTTGATTTAATTTACAAGGAATTTATTCTGGACCTGCAAAAACATTCTACATCTACCATCGTCCACAAACAAGACTAATACACAAAATTAAGGGAGAAATAACTATAACAAGGAATTCTAATTAAGCAAAAAGGCAGTCCTCGGAAAGTCCTAGAAAAGAAGCTGTTCAAATACCAGGGGGTGCTGATTTTTAAAGACTGGTACCTGTAGCTCTTCCCGAGGGAAGTTTTTAAACAGGTGGTAACCTGGGTGAGAGGAGTCATCGGCAACCTTTCCTGCCCACTTCTTTGCTCTGGAATTGTATAGATCATCTGTGGAGGGTAGATGACAGCCAATGATCCAATGTGCAGAGTAAACAACACACTGCAGATTGCCTTTGGAATGTGCAGACATGTTGCCAAACTAAACAGTTATAGGGGCAGTCAGAATGCTCTAAATAATGGCTCTGTAAAACTGTCCGAGACTTGGTTCGGAGATGCCTTTGCAGAAGAACTCCACTCCATAGTGAAGGATACAAATGTAGAGAAATCATGCCAGATGCCACTATTTCATGGCCTTGATGATATTGGATTTAAAAATGTACTAAACATTTGAGTGTGTTTTGTCATTCTTGCATGAAATAATATAAGAGCCCATTGACCAGGTCAGCTTCTGTTGTTCATACTCTTAAATGTGGACAAAAGGATTTTTTATCGACCAGGAATATGCAGAGAGGATAAGACCCATGGTGAGAGATGGTGTCTATTTCATGTACGAAGCCATTCATGGGCCCTCAAAGAAAATCCTAGTCGAAGGTGCCAATGCTGCCCTGTTGGACATCGATTTTGGTAAGAAAATACTCCCTACGCAGTGACGTAATCAACAGAGTGAAGACGTGTAATGAAGATGAGAGCTCTGCTGAATGCAGGTTTTAAGACCCTGTGGGTTGCATGATGTTATTGTACTCCTAGAGTTTACTGCGCCGGATTGCCCTCCCAGTTTCCTTGGCTGCAGTCTTCTTTACTGGCAGCAGAGGGCAGAAATGTTGCATAAAGATGACAAGAATGACAGGACTTGAACCCATTAAGCAATGGAAAAATCACATTCCTCTTACTGAAACCAGTATGGTTTCTGAGCTTGTCTTTTTTTTCTTCCAGAATATATACCACTGTTTTCTCAATTTTTTTTTAGATATTTAATTCCTCAGAAGGAAAAACAAATGTGGTTGCAATTTTTTTTAATGATAAAGGATACACTTTGATGGAAATGTGCATTTCTTTGATTTATCTAAAAGGATAAAGTTTTCTTTTTCAGTTCTTATGTAGTGTGTGTATATATATTTAGCACACAAATATTATTTAATGAAGCACTACATTGCATACAGTGCTCATCATTCTTAAAATGATATATATGTTTATAATAATAATACTTGCTTACACTTATATAGCGCTTTTCTGGACACTCCACTCAAAACGCTTTACAGGTAATGGGGACTCCCCTCCACCACCACCAATGTGCAGCATCCACCTGCGCCAGAATGCTCACCACACATCAGCTCTCAGTGGGGAGGAGAGCAGAGGTTTAACCTGAACCAAGTACATTACAGACTGAAAGGAATTTGTGACTTGTTTAGCAGGGTGTTCCATTCGTGTTCCATTGCAGGGTGTTTATTCGGCTCCCTTGTCTCTACTCTCCAGGCACGTACCCCTTCGTGACTTCCTCCAACTGCACTGTGGGTGGGGTGTGCACAGGCCTGGGCATCCCGCCTCAGAACATTGGGGAGGTCTATGGAGTGGTGAAGGCCTACACTACCAGAGTGGGCATTGGGGCCTTCCCTACGGAACAAACCAATGTAAGTGCTTATAATGAAGTTCTCCACAGAGAGCATTTACTATAACCATGATAGAAAGGATTTCCACTCTGTATGGGACATCTAAGGGAGTTTTAGAGATGAATCCTGACTCTTTATCCTGTTTAAAGTTATTTCACTGACACTTTGTTCTAAAGCCATATATATTTGTACTTATTTATACATTTTACTTGAATAATTCTCACATAATAAGTTTGTTTGACAGGGAAACTGCAGTCAGCACACATTGTTTGTTCAAAAAGCCAGGTAGGAATGGAAACCCAAAGAACAATGAAGGAGTGGGCAGGATCCACTTGCTATTGAAGAGGCTGTTGTGTTTGGATGTGAATGGGAGGCTAAGAAAATGGATTAAGCATAATAGCGGGTTCTTTTGAACCATTCGTTTTCAAATGAAATAGTTTTAAATACTGGTGTTTCCCAGGGCTGTATTTGACACCTTTACTATTTCCCATCTATACAAATGACATGAAAGTGCAGGAAGTTTAAAGTGATAGATGATAGAGAAGGACTGGACAATTACTTTGAACAGATAAGTACTGTAAATTGAAAAGGTGGTGTCAGGCATACATGCTTCATATTAACATTGATAAAACCAAAAAAGTGGCTACTTCTGACAGTAGTAAATTAGCTTTTCAACCTCTCTCTCTTATTAATCAATCTGTGGTGGTTTTTCAGTGTTTACATAGGAACAGTAATAGATCAACATTTAAACTTTGCAGAGAATACCAATTTACCAAGGCTTAGCACCATTTATTTTTGATCATGAGCTTGAAAGGGTTTGACAATAAAATATTCAAGAGAGGATTTATAAGATGTTGGTAGAAAGCATCCTTATTTTTGGTATCACAATGTGGTAAGGTTGCCTGAGTGTTAAGAGTAAGGGGAAATTGGCCAGAATTATTAATATTGCTAGTAAAACCATTGGCTGACCTCAGAATCATTGTAAAGAGCTTTATCATATTGCAGTTCAGAGGAAAGCTCAGATTATTATTTACAACCTCTAATAAAAATAAGACTTATTAAGCTTGTAAATGGCAAATTGGTCTGTGCTTCAGGAGATTGGGGAGCTGCTGCAGTCCAGAGGCCATGAGGTGGGAGTGACCACAGGCAGAAAGAGACGCTGTGGCTGGCTAGACCTCATCATCCTCCGATATGCCAACATGATCAATGGGTTCACTGCGTGCGTTGCCAGTTCTCATCTCTCTCCTGTCAGGGCCTCTGCCTGTGGTTACCTCAGTGTTGTCACAAAATCTGAAAACCTGCTTGATTTTCCTCTGCAGTGTTGATATTGCTTCGTATTAAAAATGGGTTAAAACGAAAAACTTATTTTTTAGCAGAAATCAAAGTTTGCATGATTGTGCAATACTTACAGACGTAGCCCTTTTTGTAATACCATCATTTTTTGTTTTTATGGATAAAAAGTAAAGTGGACCATCTGACTGGGTCACTCTGTTTGCTATAAACCTATGGTAAATGCAAGAATAAGGGGATTAGAGCCAGTTTGCAGAGTAATCGAGCTGGATTTCTTTTCCTTTGTTATTGTCTTTTTGTTATTAACCCGACTTGGGTTATTTTGTAAATAATGTCCTCATGTTTTCCAATCATCTCTACAGTTTAGCATTAACAAAGCTGGATATCCTGGATGTTCTGGATGAGATCAAAGTGGGCATTGCATACAAGCTCAATGGCAAAAGAATTCCCTATTTCCCAGGTACAGCCTGATTGATCTATTGTAGATTTTAGCTTCTTGGGTTATTAAATGAATGATTTTGTAGTGCCCTACTTCCAGAACAGTAAATGTTTATTTTTGTAAATTTCTTTTTGCATGTTTTTTTTTGTGTGCATGCATGTTTGATTCTATTTAATATTGGTAAGCACTACTGCCTTACAGCACCAGGGCCTTAGGTTCAATTTCTGGAGAAATATCTGCATCGTTTTTGTATGTTTTTTCCCCATTTGCATGGGTTTCCTCTGGGTGCTGTGATCTGGGTGGGTTAATTGGCTTCTGTATAAATTGACCTTGGCTTGAGTTTGTGCATGTCTGTGATTGTCCTGCGATGGACTACAGTCCAGTTCAGGGTTTATTTTGCCTTGCATGTGTTGCTTGCTGGGATAGGGTCCAGCACTGAATGGATGGATATATATTTAATCGTCCTACAAAAACATCTTTTGAAAGTAATTCTTTAAGCTCTCTGCCAGTAAGTGAGTTTTGGAAATATAATGAGTGAGAGACATTCCATTTAGCACTGAAACACGAAGGAATATCCTCTTAAAAATTACTCTCAGTTAGATGACCAGTTGATTTGGGGGCATTTGTCCAGCACTCCTACCTAACAGTAATAGAAGTCTCAAAATCAATCACACCCTATCTCTGTCAAGACCTAACTAAGCCTGATCCATGATGACTATGGAGGGTTTCTTGAGTGTATTTGCTCTGTGAGAAGAAGCATTCTTCATTAGACTGCTGTAATGCCCAATTCCTTATTACACTTCTGCTTCTTCAGGTTACTTAAAGCCATATGTTGTGCTAGAATAGTTCAGACACTAAACAGTAAAATAAACCTGTGACAACACTAGGAATATACTTAGTGTACAATTAAGAAATCAACAGTACAATGACACATAATACAAAAGACTCCTGTCACCGCTGTCCGATTTGTTAAATAACGTCAAAAGGGAACGTTGAGAATGTGCAGAATGACCTGGAAGGATACAGTGAGGTTATCCCCTTCTTTTTCTCAGCCAACATGGAGATCCTTCACAAAGTTGAGGTGGATTATGAAACCCTACCAGGCTGGAAGACCGACACCACTGCAGCGAGAAAATGGGATGACCTGCCGCCCAAGGCCCAGAACTACATCAGATTTGTGGAGAACCACATAGGTGTTCCCAGTAAGTCACAGACAGGGAGGGAGACTCCAGAAAAACAGAGCTACGAAGTCTCTAAAAGCAGAAGTACACAAAGCACACTGTATTAATTTAGCTACAAATTAGTTTATTTTGAAATTTAAGCTGGATTGGAATACAATTGAGAAATTGCCAATAAGGCAGTAAGAACCAGTGAATCACTTCTATTAAGATTGTAAAGTGTTGTTGGTCTAATTTTATTAATCATGGGATACTGGGGTTAATGCTCCCGTTCCTAATAAACAGTGGTATAGGTTCTGTAATGACCAAGCAGTCAAGACTTTAATATCTCATTAAAAGGATGGCATCTCTTAAAGAGCAGATCTTTGAGATATGGGTCCACAATGAAGACTGCCACCTACTGGTCCACCTACGCTGTTTGGCAAATAATTAGCTGGATTCAGTAATTAAGATCAAAGCTGCAGGAAAACCAAAAGAACTCTGAAGTCCCCTATGACTGGATTTGTGCAACCCTGTAAACAAATGTTACAGTTTGTTGAAGAAGATACAGTATTTTAGACAGCCTAAGGAAAAGGAGTGGTTTTACTATCAGAAAGTAGTCTATAACATTAGGAAGCCCTTTTGGTTGATGCCTTTTTATCCTTTTTAGACTGATTTATTACAATGCTACCTTTTTCTCTGTTTCAGTAAAATGGGTTGGTGTTGGGAAGTCAAGAGAGTCCATGATCCAGATGTTCTAGCTGAAGAACTGCCTCCCTTTGGTCAAAACAAATATGCTCATGGTGGCTTTGCTCCTGTTCACTTCTTTTCACACATGGTAGATGGCATTTTGTGGCATTTTAACTGAATGTTATGCAATACTAAGTGACAACAGAGTCTAATCTCAGAGTTCCCAGTAATTTTACAGGATTTAGAGACAGGGTACATTTTTAATTACTACTAATAAGATGTATTGAGATGCAGGCATTATGACAGTATGTATGCTGTAGACATTGCTCAGTTGATTAATCAGTTGTCTTCAGTGCATCTCTCAAAAATGTGATTCCCCCAGGGAACAGGGTCACTTCTTTTCAGGTATATAACTATGGGTTAAACTGATGTTTCTTGCTGTCTTTTCTCATGTGTTTCTGTAGAATTTGCTGTGCCAAAAGAAATACTATACTTACTGATAAGCAAACTGGAAGACAGTATTAATCTCAACAAACTTTGTGTTGAGAGCAGGAAGCTGTCTTTTACAAAGAGAACTGTTGCACTGCTTTCCAAAATATATTAGGCACTTGATTTTTAACTCTGGATTTAACAAAGCTTTTTGAATGGGGCCTACTCACTCCATCACTCCTGAAATATTTTCTTTAAAAAATTGTTAGCTGTAGTAAGTCATTATAACTGTAATGAAATACTGATTAATCGAGTATTTGTGAATAGTGAATAATTGAATAGAGGGAGGTTAAAATTATCAATAAGATCAGTAAAATTAACATCAGAATCATGATATGCAAGCAAATTTATAAAAGGAACAATTTTACACCCCTTGTTTTGTCAGGGGATACTGAGTGTCATATAGGGGTGTGTTCTTTGTTTCTTCAGCATGATATGGTAACAAAGTGATTAACTTAAACTGCTCTCTTTTATCAAATCAAAGATCCAAATCGGGACTAAATTTATCTCCGAAACATATGCTAAACAAGTGGGAACATATTATCCTGTGCAAACGAATGTAGCGCTAACAAAATGAGAGATTTGCTTTAGCTTGGTGGATATCACAAATAGAATATCAGTATTTACGCAAATATTTAAAACAGTCCCTTACTTAAGGTCTGAAGTCAGTCTATTGACTGCAGAAATTACTTGGACGTTCTGTAGTCCTACTCTATAAAGAAAGAAGCTCTCTTTGAGCTAATTGCTTCTTCTCTCGCTTCTGTTTTTTCCTCTTCTGTCCTTTCACTTTCTGTGTGCATTTTCTTCCATCTTGGTCCATCCATTTCCCATGAAGACTGACTTAACTGCAAGTGGTGTAGTCCAAATTAAAAATGAGTACATTTGTTTGGCCTCCTGGAACTTTGGCCAATGTGATTGCCTCAGTTGAAAAACAAGATTAGTGGAAAGTCTGTGCAAACACTCCCAAGACTGCCCATTGTTTTACCTTTCAGGAATGGATATGAAATTTAACAAATTGTGAAAGTAACATTATCATATAACATCTCACAAAAATTTGCTACCATAAAGTTAAATGTGCCCTGTCTCAAAGTCTCTGGTGACAATGGAGCTTCCTCAGAAAATCAAATATGTCTATTGTAAAATTACTGAAACAATTTACAAATGTCCTTATCGTGAGGCTTTTATCTTCTATTACAGTTTTATTTTTGTCTATTCCTATACATATATTTTAAAATGAATTTACTTTTGTTGACACCACATTTCAATTGTAATTTATTTATTTGCTTGGTCCAGTAAGTGGTGGTCCCTTAAATGACATTGACGTCAATTAAAATCAATGTTTCTGTATGAATAGAAGATTCAAAACGTTCTTTTTATTGTGATGTGAAAAAACAACATCAATAAGAATTTTACAGTATTACGAATTGCTTAATTGCTATTTATGCTGTATGACTCATTACATAATACAAGGAGATAAGAATTTCCCCTTTGTGGTTCCCTTCTTCACAGGGAGAAAAGCCAAGTCTATCCTAAGAAAAAAGTCAGAATGTCAATACAAGTACATCATTTTCCATCTGAAAGTCTCACATGGAAAGTCTCATACTGGCTTTGCAAAATTTGAATTCCTTATCAAAGGATTTCTAAATATTTCAAATATATCTTTTTTGGGAGCTACAGTTGAGCACTGAATGGAAACCCATATACTTCTGCTGTGGTCTTTTTTGCAGTGTTTCATTGAGTGAAATTCCATAAATTCAGCTTCAGGTCTCATTAACTGCAGGCAAAGGCCAGAGCAAGAGTGACATCATGCTGACATCCCTCTGATGACACTAATTGCAGTTCTTGGGATATTATTCATAAACAAATTTACATGTCCTAGGGCAGCTGTTTTACCTTAAAGAAAAAAAAAGTCCTAGGTATTATCTATGAGCCACTGTTTTTTAACAGATTGTGGACTTGAGAGATGTTAAAGCAGCATGGCCGTTAAAGCTAAAGTTATCACTTTAAAAGAAAAAAAGTGAAGATAAAGTCTCTGCAGAAACCATAGCAGAGTCAGCTAAATAAAACAAAACAGGGTCAACAGATCTTAAAAATTAAACCACCATAGGATTGTACAGGATGGTAACATGTGGATGGTTGAACAGCTTTTTGAAATATTTTAAAAGTCTTCAGTAAGTTTACTTCCCTTTTTAGTGGTGCTGAATACTTTTATCGGGAAAATCTGGACTCAAGAAATGAGTTAGTAGTAGCCCCATCTTTCCAACCTTTCGGTACATTTGCTTTGACTTGAATAAACTCTGGCCAGTACATAATGAAACCGTCATGGATTTTACTTGCTCAACACCTTTGCCCTTTTCCTGGTATATAGAAACAATGGAGAAATTGTTATTTTAAAACTGTAATAATTGACATTATATTTTTTGTGATTTTTTGTGAGGTGCTGTTTATTATAATTCTATGGAAGGTTTCCAGTGCTAAGATACCTGTTTTTTTTCCACATTATTTGCTGGTTTGCTACACCAGTGAGCTTTTGGCAATCAGTCTGAATTCTGTGATGTGTGCAGCTGAACCTCATTTTAATTCAGGTTTAAAATGAACTCCTACATTGTTGGGGAGACAGAGCTGATATAGTAAGCCAATAAGCCATTTTTTCCTAAACCCTATGAGTAAGAAAAGATGTATCTTTTTAGAACTATATAACATTCGTATCTTTTTCAAGCCCAACTTGCTGCTGTTACTATGTTGGATCTGTCTTCTAGCAGTTGGTGTTGAAAATGATTTAATTGCATTGCTGTATTAAAAAATGGAAATTTCCAATGCAAATAAAATCAAATACACATTGCATATTTTTTCCATGATGTATTAATTTAAACGGTAAGGGGATAAGGAGATAACATTTTTTCTTGACTGTTTAACAATTCCATACAGTATATATAAACTCAAGCACAATTATACTTATTGTTTTATTTCATTTTTACTGTATTTCTGTAGCATCTCCGCATATGTGACACTGCTTACATAAAATAAATATGACACTTTAATAAAATTAGATACCTCAATAAACACTGGTGAACTTAATAAACACTTCTCTGAAATATATGGTGCGATAGAGACAGAAGGTTAGAATATACGTGAAAACTTAGATGTATGCGATTTCATTTGTTTTGTTCTAGGGCAGGGGTTGGATACCCAGGCCTCGGAAAGCCAGTCTCCCAGTTTTTATTCTATCTGAGCTCTGAATGGCTTGCAGTAAATGAAAAGAAAATTTGCTCAGCAGAAGTTAGTGTGCTAGCCTTTTGTCACAGGATACAGGTACTTTTGTTACAGGGTAGCACAGTAAGATGTATTAATGACTTTATTAAATCAGGGAAAGAAAGGCATTTGGCATTTACTGAACAATCCAACATTTCATATTTATTTTGTACGAATCCTGTAAAAGAAACAGACATTTTCTTTCCTAGTGACAGCTCCTATTAGCTGGTGCAGATCAGCAATAAATAAGCATCTGGGCTATAGCCCAGGCAAAGACATCCCTGAACTGACACAGCAGAAGTCAGAGAGTCTCCTCTTTCCATGTACCCTGGAAGGGAGAGAAAAATGAAAAATGAGATCAAACTATGCAGCTTTCTGGCTTGTGTTTCCCCCTGTGTGATAGTGTCGTGGTCAAGAGAGGCTGCTGACAGCAAGAAGTGGTGCCATCTTTGTTCATATTAAAGGGAAAGTATGATGCTTTCAGCCATGGGCAGTGATGAGTGTCTAAGGTGAACAGTAAGAACCTTACTTGGATGCAGTTTAAATCAGTGCACCCACTACTTGTGCTCATGGCAAGCCAATCCAAAGTTTTATACTTAACATATAATCTTTGATACCTAAAGACTTGGAAAGTTAGGCAATTTAAACAAATGCTTGAGTCACTTAAATCATTCAGGTTGTGTCCGGATGTTGGAGCTTACATTCACACTACTCACTTAACAATCAGTACTAGAGTTTCATGACCCCACAAACAATCTGGTATATCTAGTACCTTTGTAAACCTATATTTTTTTTTTGTTTTGTGTCCTAAAACAAGAATCACTACCACTTCATGTCATAAAGCTTACATCCTGGCTGATGTTGAAAGCACAGTCATATTCGCTTTTCCAGCGGTAGACCTCAGGCTGTCCATAGATATCTCTGGGTAATGGAGCACCTGCACCTCCCCTGAAGCTGGTTGTGGTTTTTTTCCCCACCACTTTCTGCTTCTTTGCTGCAAGAAAAGTAAGTATAATTTGGGGCCCAGGCTTTGAAAAGGACTTCAAAACAAGTGTGCAACACGTTCAGAGAAAAATAATGCATGTAACCAAAAACATCACACCCAGCATGGTTAATGTACAGTACAGTAAATAAACTTATGTAAACTACTTAAATAAACAGTAAGTATACTATACCATCACAATAATACAGTATACGGTATATAGTACATGGACAATATATACGGCGAATCACACGTACGTGAAAAAAATGAATTTATCACGGTCTGAGACATGGTTGGACCAGCCATATTAAACCTGAAACAAAACAAAGTAGAAAATATTCATTTTCTCCTTTGGTGACATATTTTCTAACCGACCGAAAACTGCGGTTTCCAATGCATTTAGTGTTTAAATGCATCGCGTAATTCAGTGATTCAGAACACTGTCGACAATTACATGAAAGAAATAGATGTACAGTACCGAAAACTATTTACTATTACCACACTGTATGCAACAGGAAGCATTGTTTCTATTTTTTTCTTATAAATTAACTTACACCCCTAAAGTAACTATTATCATGAGGAAAACGTACGTATTCCTGTTTTTGAAATTACTATTACTGGTACTTTTGTAATCACCTAATTAAAATATCCTGTAAAAGGCAGTTCATAAACTTACCCGGTGCTTTGTTTTGCTTCAATTACCTAGTTACGCATTTAAACGCATTCCAGGTCATGCTACTATGGAGATAGGACTTGAGAGTGTTGAAAGCTAAACCACATTAATTAAGCACATGCATTTTTTCTTTGATGACAGATTAATGAAACCATTTACAATAAATTATTTTAGCTGCTAATTACATAGGGAAAATGTTATTGTTAAAATATGACGATCTATAAAATGTTTGCTATATAAATACGTAATGATCATGTCGTTTATGAAAATATAAAGTGAATCAAAATGGAAATTAGAGATTGACATCAAAGATTGTAATCTTTTAATTTAAGTAGTCACTTTAAGTAGTTTTTGTGTACTTGCAGCACAATAATTTCAATATAAATTATATCTGACTGATTTTAAATTAATAATTCCATACATATTATAATTCAATAATTCAAATTCGGGAATTATCCATTTAAATCTCTCTCCATTTGTGTAATTATGCACTCACAGGTGATATGTTTTTTTTTACGTTTTATTTTCTGTGCTACAAGAACAAAGTTTAATCCTACCTGAATTAATGAAAAATTATATATCGGACAAACATTTCTTTGATCACAGCGATATTGTAAATATGTGATGCAAATATCAGTAATAAGACAATGAAAATACAGTTTTCTGCCTTGATTTTTTGGAATGAACACAAACTGCAACTGCAACACCTGAGAACCACTCAAAAGGGAGGATTTCTCCGACGTCACTGGGTTAGAGTTTAAAGGTCGCAGGGCATACATTTCCCGCGAAAGTTGGTGTGTTTTTCAGAAGTATTTGTTGGTTGTTTAAATATTTATTATTATTGTAATTTCTTGCGTTTAAGTTTCTTTTTAAATAGTCATTAAAGAAACATGCCAAAGAGAGCCTATCCTTTCGGCGAAAGCTTCTCTTTGCAGTACAAAATTCACATTGGACAGAAAGAAGTGAACCAGGGTGTATTTGGAAACGCGTACAGACAAGAGATCTACGGTAAGGTTTTGTTGACGAGATCTTTTTTTGTGGGGAGGGAATGGTCAAAAAATGTTACTGTTAATGAGGTTTTGCCTTTTCTTGCTTGTCTTGCCCTCGTCGCTGAGTAACGATAGTGCATTGAATTGCAAAGCCCCTAGAGTATTACACGGAGTCAGGTGAGAGATACTTGGGCATATTTACCTGTGATTGAGTAGTTCTATGCCCAGAGTTGGGAGAAAGTTAAGTATTTGATTTGCATCGAGCCTTCCTTAATAAAAGTCACGGCTATAATGTCAACTCGGAAATACCTATGCCATTGCTAATGGAGAACATCTATACCTTAAGAGGTGTGAGGACCCCCCTCCTTGGTCACCTACTTGATATGAACTTCAGGTTTGAGCATCTCGTCTGAGTCTGCTTTGAATCCGGTGTAAACTATTTGAACGTCTGGCTGTCTCTCCAGGCTGACGTTTCAGATCTACTGCATCTACAGCCCGTGCCTCAAAAAAAAGGGATACTTCGCCTTATGTTAACATCTTCCGTTTGCAGCGAAAACGAAGGGTTTGCTGTTCAGTGGCGCCAAGGCCGTTATGGAGAGGATCTGGAAGGCGGGATCCGGTGTCGGAGTCGATCCGGATGATTCTTCTCCTCGCCTGGCAGTGGCGGTCACCCCCACTCTGTTGAGGGGGCAGACGTTGATAGGGCACGATGGCAAACTGAGGAAATGCGACACTCGTTCTGGTGCAGGTAAACCTTGGCGAACGCTATGCTGGCGGGTTTCTTTAATTCCGTGGCAAACGAAAACCGTTTACTCCTGCCGGTGTCCCGGAAAGTGGCGCATTTTCTTCACTTCATTTTTCTAATGAGCTCGTTTGAGCACCGTCCTTTTTAATGCGAACGTGTAGTGGCCTTTCAGTCGCATAAACCGCTTGAATGAATCGGTATGCTTGACATCTATGATTTGTGCGTAAATTCGCTTTGATTCATCGTATTCTGTGAAATTATTAGAGCTACTGAGCTTCTATTCCAGTTCACCTCCAGGCCGGCCGACTGTAACTTCCTGACCAAAGGCAAAATTTAAAGGCCCGTCCTTTGATTTTTAGTGTTATCTCCCTGCCTGTGGAACCCCCTTCCCTCCATTGAGAGGGACTCTATTGTAAAAGTTAAAATGCTGTTTAATACTTTCACTGAGAGAATAATTGCCTTTTCTTGTACAGCCCTCTGATTTTAGTTATGAAGTGAGATTTTATGTGTAACTATCAAAACTTTCCCCATCTTTAATGTGTAACATCCTTTTCCAAGGTAACTGGCCACAGTTACAACTGAATGGTTTAGTGTGCTGTTCTTTCATGTTGGCTCCCTCTTTGAGATGCTGTTTTCTCTTGCAATGAGCCATTTAATCTGCTCTATGCTGTGTGAATGTGCTCTAACTTGTGGCCTGCACTTTTTCCTAGGTACCCGTGATGCTCCTGGAACGTGCTGTGTGTGTCTGAAAGCAGCTGGCGTGAAGGCACACTGTGCGCAGTGCGATCGCTCTGCCTGCCCAAGCTGCAGTCGGCAATGCAGCAGCTGTACCAGCCTGTGCTGCTCTGTATGCACCATGGTAGAGTAAGTGTCGGGAGCCGTGCCTGTTTCAGAAATGACTGTCTAAGGTAGTAATGTCTGCACGCAGTCCTGGATAGTTCCAGTCTTTAGGATTGTATAGAGCTCTTAAGCCAGCAGGCCTGTAACAGTGCTTCCCTGGCACAGCACCCTGCATTAACCAGTACTGCTCAGGCTGTGGCCAACGCTCAAACCTAATATTCAGGATTTCATGTATGAGCGAAGGCGACTGTAGGGAAACGGTATAAGACACAAGTAATAATGCAGGAGGTCAAGAAAGGATGTGTCCTTCTTGTGCACAGAAATAGGATGGACCATTTTGTCCAGAAAACTATTCCGAGGCCTAAACAATTGGGTGGGGGGGGGGCTAGGGGATCTAATTAAATAATGCAATACCTTTTGTACATACTGTAAAAACAAATGAATTTCTTTACAATAGTTTTATAACTTTACTAGTAGTTTTCTGTAATACTTGACTGTATGGTAAGTTGATCCTTTTTAATGAGTTGAACCCACCTGTAGAGTACTGCTTCAAGTCTTTTCCTGTTTTTTCATTGTGATATGACAGATTTTGGAGCAAAGGGAAATGGCAGTTGAACTTCAAGTTTCACCACATTTTCTTACTTCTGAATTTGGCTTTTCTAGAAATTAAGTGGTGTTCCTTAAGCATATTCTGGTTGCTTTGGGGATCTAGGGCTCATTTTTCATCCAATAACGAAACATGCAAAATAGTTACACATTTTAGTTTTTTTTTTAGAAACATTTTGGGGAAATGCCACTCTAGATTAACTTTAAAATGCCCAGCTCATGATGCATACCATCCTAGCAAGTGAAATTAAGGATCTTGCAATTACAAACGTATTTAATTGTGCCCAAATGAGAAATGCAAATGGTAATGTTTAATTATTTGGACACCGCCAAATAGTTTAATACAGTTCAGTTGAAGTATAAGGACTTATTTGTAGTAATATAAATAAATCAAGAACATGTGCTCTGTGGTTACAGAATGGTCTTGTTCCTTGGTGCAACAACTGCTGTATGCGATCTCTTTTTTTTTTTTATATTCCATATTTGGAATTGCCAGTTTCTAACTGGTTTACTGATCTCGCATCTGTATCAGAGAGGGGGTACATCCGTGTTCCAGATCCTTTTACCACTTAATGGATCACCTTTTGAACTCCAAGCCAGGGCAGAGACAGTGTTGATTGCTAAACTCTGCAAACTTATAGATTCCATGTGACTCCCAGGGGTAGCTGTTGTGTGATAAAGCAAGGATATGCAGGCTAATTCAGGTCTGTCTGACCTTGGTGGCTTTCAGCCAACTGTGAAGCACTGCTTGGAGAATCCCAGTCAGTGACGTAATCCAGACATGATCTGGCAATGTCTGCACTGTAGGGCTCAACCTGTGTTCCTTACAAGTGCTTTTAATGGCTGAGCCACTTGGAAGCCTTAAAGTCAGACAAACTAAAAGCAATTATTGAGCTTTACCAGTTTAACAGTGCAGAAACTTGATGTAATGGAGTATAAACCAGGACCTTATTGCAGTACTGGGGTCCATAATAGGCTGTAAAATCACAATGTACAGTAAGTAGAAATAGTAATAGCACAGCAATTAAAGAGGGGAATCAATTTAAGTGTCTGTAAAGGTCGCTTTTGAATAGGTGTTGGAAGGTTCGGTAATGGTGCAGTTTGTTTTAGATGCATGGTTCTGCCACAGGGAGTGCAAGACAGGTTATTGAACTGGATCCAGCAGAGCAAAGAATGAGATGTTGTAAGGAGAGCTGAGGGAGTAGTGAAGAAACCGGTAAGGGTGGGGGTTTTAAACTAGACGTGGGCAGATGAAGCCAGCTAGGAGAGAACCTCTGTGTGCATTGAAGAAGCAGGAGGCTTGTTGATGTAGGAAAGCCAGTTAGGAGTGAGTTGCTTCATTGCAAATGTTGAGTCTTGCCCTAACTCAGTCCGACATGAGTTAATCTGACAAATGACGTCTTAAAAAGTGTTTCCAGTGCTAAAATAAGGTGTCTGTGTGTCTGTGTGTCTGTGTGTCTGTGTGTCTGTGTGTCTG